CTAAGGAGAAACGCTTGGGGAAAAAAATTCACTCTGCAATTAATCAATCAACCCTCATATAAAATGAGATGCTGTACCTAATCCACTGAGATTCGGAAAGCAAAGACAATGTATCGTAAGAAGAGTGAGACTGCAGGATGTTTCTGTTGGTGCAGAAAAGAGAACAGATGCCACAGCTTTTCTGCTTATCGGGAAGCATCTCCCGAGTAGGAATCAGTGATATTCAAGGAGACAAAGTAAGACCCCCTGCAACACTGCTCCAGCAACTTCACCTCAACAGTGACACTTGTCCCCTGCATCCTGAATGGCCGCCCTGCCGTCCCCGTGGGCGGCACCAGACGTGAGTGCTTTTACCCAGTTTCCCTGGTGCCCACAGACAACTGCACAGCCTAGACCACATTCCCAAGAGCTGCGCTATTTCAGAATTTTCATGGCTCCTAAATCTTCCCGGGCAGCCCACCAACACAGCCAGGAAATGGCTGCTGGGGACTGAAATGACTTCCTTCCATCTCCTCTGTTGAGCCCTCAGGACCAGAAAACCTCCAGAGGCAAAACCAAGCTCCCCGAGACTACTAATTGACTTGCATAATCTTTTAGAATTAGGCTCTAAATTAATTTCATTCTTCTGTGTGACAGTTTTGCAAAGTAAATAGATATGTATATATGCTTATAGCTTCATAATTGAAGCGAGTTCATTTCCCCATCTGTTTAATAGGCTACAGCAGGATTTTGGAGTGACTGGCAAAATTAGATTTGTATGAAAAATAGAAATCGGATTGAGGGCAGCAATTTCTGCAACTGGCTCCATGTAACCCTAGAGCAGAAGTGCTGGTCCTAAGACCGAGAAGCCTTTTTAATGGCCTGTAATGAACTGAGACTGGATCTTTTCATTAGATTAGGTCAGCAGTGGGCATTTGCCTTACAAGGTAATACAAGTGTTTGGCAGGCATTTTAAAGACGTTTTATTGTGTTCCTGGGGTGAGGTCTAAACAGGCTTAACAACACGGGATCTTAAAACATTTAAGTGATTTTTTAATAGAGATAGCACCCAATTTAAAACACAATTACAAGCAACCTTAAGACAGACTGATGAGAACAAGACTTTGCGGGGTGTATGCCTGATGCTTCCAGACTGATAACAGTGTGAATTATTACTCCAGAGAAGGAGGTTCCTATCCGGCAGCGATCCCCCAAGCCCGGCATCTAGATCACTGGGCACCTGTCACCTGTCACCTGCTGGACATGACGATTCCCGGGATGCACCTGTGCTTCCTGCCTTGTGTTCTCTGGGAATGGTGCCTGAAACCCACATTTTAAAGAAGCATCTCATTACCTGGGGGCAGACTGAAGTCAGAGAGCTGCGGATTCATTAAGATTCATGGAAAACCACACACATCCTTTTACTCAGCTGAGGATGTGGGTTCTAGGAGAAGCTACCCCTGGCTGTCAGTGGCTGCCCTGAAGGAAGGGGATGGTACACGCTGCCCTGGTCCAGCAGCTGCCACCACTGCAGGGAAAACACAGGCAGACACAGCCTTGCCTCACGCTTCTGCTGGATGGACAGATAGACAAGCTGGAGAGGACAGTTCTATCTGGACAACACTGGGATCCTGCTCACACTGAGTCTTTGCAAGGGACATCCCAGCACTCAGCTACCTCCAGTAGGACGGTGGGGAGCCAATGGACTTGGGCAGAGCTCTGGGATACAGACACCCCCAGACACCCCTCTATGCCCCTCCCTGGTCACGGGGAGGCAACCTCACGCACATCCTCATGTGTCGTCACTTCTACAGTGGCTCTATCTACCCGGGCCAGGAAGTACAAGGACAGTAGGGAAGTTGCTCTTTATAACTCAGCGATCGCCCTGAGTTACACAAAAGTCCAGGCATGCACTTGGGGAATGGATCATCATTTAATAATCACTCTTCCATTATCCAGTACAGTGATCCTACAAAGCTGACAACGCAGATGTTTTGTTTTGTTTTGAGGTACCAGGAATTAAATGCAGGGCCTTAAAAATATAAAGCAGAGTCCTATGGCTCTGCTACAACTCTAGCCCATGAGAATACAGGTGTTTTAAGTCAACAGAAAGGTTATCCAGCTGGTGCCTTGGAGGTTACACAACTGGAATGATGGATGCTGACTGACGATCCCCATTGACTTCCCTGGCTGCAAGGTGGGGTGCTGGCTGCTGAACAAACCTCAGCCAGAACCCAGAACAATAGCCTCAGACTTTACAGAGCTTGCATGTAAGCAAAGCGTGCAGATCCTGGGGAAGTGCTCAAGCCACAGCACTCGGAGTGTGTCTGAAGCTGGTGCTCAGGGGTGTGATGAACGTCCCAGAGAGACCGGACAAAGCTGTGCTGGGGGAAGACAGTGAATCCTAACCCTGAAACACGAGAGGGTGGCGAAAAGGCAGATGAAAGTGCTCGACAGAGCGAAGAGGACGCTGGAGGACAGGTGGGCTGAGGCATGCGGTAAAGAAGAGATTGGCAGAGATAAAGCTGGAGAAAGAGATGGGGCCCAGACCACGCAGGACTCTGTGGGCCACTTGAGGAGTCAGGGTCTTAAAGACTCAAAAAAATCAGATTCCCAAATTTAGAGACTCAGTCCAAAAAGGACACCTGAAATGAGTGCATACTTGTCAGATCAAGACATACAAACAGCAAATAAATAAAAGACAGTATGTTCCACATCACTGGTCCTTTGAGAGGTGCAAATGATAACAACACTGAGGAAAAAGGAACCCTTCCCAGCTGTTGGTGGGAGTGTGGACTGGTGCAACCACTGTGGAAATTACTATGGAGACTCCTCAAAATACTACAACTAGAGGTTCCATCTAGCCCAGCTATTCTCCTTCTTGGTATCTTCCCAAAAGAATTAAAAGCATCATGCCACAGCGATGTATGCACACCCATGTTTACAGTGGCACAGTTTGTAATAGTTAAATCTTGGAAACATCCCAAATGCTCATCAGCTGGTGCATGGATAAAGATGTGTGGGTTTTCAGTACAATGGCGCACCATACAGTCATACTGGATAAGCTTCAGACATTTCTAGGTAAATGGATGCATCCTGAGACCATGGTCTTTAAGTGAAACAAATCAGACATACATGTGAAAACACCACACTGTCTCCCTGGTGTGAGACCTGAAGGTGTAAGTAAAGACCAAAATGTATCATGGATATTAGGAAGAAAGTGGGAAGAAAGTGTTCAAAGGAGAAGGGGAATAAGGGAGGGTGAGGAAGAGGGGATGAAAAAAGACGGGGAGAACAGAAGAAAGCAATGGAAACAAAGCTTCTGCAAATAAGCAGGGTAAGAGGGGCTGAAGGAAGAGGAGGGGGATGGAAAAAAAAGGGGCAGCAAGACAGATCAAGTTCAGGTGCAAATTCCCTGTGGTGGAGGTTACTACCACATGTACCTAAAATGTCCCAATGAAACTACAGAATCCGGGTCTTCGTCCTGAGCAAAAAGGGGCCCTGACAGGTGCAAGCAGGGCGACAGGAACTCAAATCAGCAGACTGCACAACTCTCTCCGGAAGGTCACAGTGGCTGGGGATGGGCCCTCAAATGGGAATTATAAAGAGGCTGCTGGGGAGTGGATGGGAAGCCATGTCAGGGAGCCACTGCTTGGAATCAGGGGCCCGAGGGACTCTCTGGGGTGGAGTGAAGCGGTGGAGTAAGGAGATACCTCTGCTCACACACCCCCATTATTCCCGGTTGCGTCATATCAGCTCTGGGACCAAGGGCAGTGCCAGCACCTCCCTCGCACTGGGCATGGCATGGCATTTAGGAGGTGACAGACCAAGAGTCCTGAGACAGCGCAGAGCCATTACCCAAGCCTGGCCGTGTCCCTGGCTCCCACACAGCGCCCCAGGATGATGCTCCCACCCTGCCCCCAGAGCAGTAGGGTGGACGTGCACAGTTGCCCTCTGTGACAGAAGGCACACAGTGGGGACACAGCTCAGCTCCCTCATCCCTGGACTGGCCACACCGGGCTGTGTGCTTCACAGCGCGGCCTGCAGTTCTCTAGGCTGTGGCAGGCACCCCCACCTGACCGCGGCATTCCCCTCCCGATGGCCCCTCTCAAGAAGTGTGAGCAGTCAACTCTTTACCTCTCATTGCCTCTAAGCACATGGGGAGTGGGGGCTGGCACCCAAATATAGTACATTAAGAATGATGCAAAAGCCAGGCATGGGGGCCAGGGATATAACTCAATGGCAGCACGCCTGCCTGGCAAGCATAAGGTCGTGAGTTCCACTCCCAGTACCAAAAAAAAAAAAAAATAAAAAGCCAAGCATGGTGGCACACACCTGTAATCCTAATACTTGGGAGCCTGAGGCAGGAGGACTGCCTGAGTTCAAGGGTTAGAGTTCAAGGTGAGCTTGAACTGACATCCTGTCTCCAAAAAAAAAAAAGAAAAAAAGAAAGAAAGAAAGATGCAGTGAAATCACATGAAAACCTGAGTGAGAAATTACATTCAGGGAGCTAAGAGTAGAGTGAAGGAGCAAGACCACAATCTGATGCCATGAGCATTTATCTCTTTCAACAATTCACTGAAAGTTTAACTAGGACTAGCAAAAACATCAACTATCCATTGTTTTGCACCTGAAGACTAAAGCAATGCAGGCTGAGTGTCCCTCAGCCAAAAAGCCAGAAGCTGAAACATTGCAAAATTGGAAATTTTTTAGACAGACTTTAGACCATTTCAGGTTTGGGATGTTCAGTGATTAAATTTTATACAAACATTCCTAAAAACCCAAAACAGTCCCGAAGCTGAAACGCTTCCAGTCCCAGGCACTGTGAATGTACCATGAAAAAATAAGTAACCCAGTCCTCTTTTAATAGCATCAATAAAAAGTAACATTTCTTAAAGGATTATTATTTAGTAGCCACTACACTAAGAGCCTGACACTAAGACTTTTCATCCCATATAATCCCAACAAACGGAGCGATCCCCAGCAAACAGCGACTGAGTCAAACAGCAAAGCTCACACACCTGGCAGGCAACGACGCCGAGGAGCAGACCGAGCTGAGGCCGCGCTGTTCACCAGCAGGCTGTGCCGCTCTGTGGAGGAAAAGAAAAGCCTGTGGGTGCTCATCGGGCTGGGCCTGAACTACTTACCCACGAGCTGCTTGGGTCCCGCAGCTTGAAATACTTAATCTCCAGCCCTGCATTAGGTCCCAGGTGCACAGAGCCAAGTGTTCAAGCTGGACAGGGCATCCAATTTTTACATCTTACTTGTGTGTCTCTCAACGGCTGTGCATCTTAAACCACAGAGAAGCAGTGAACAGAAAAGCTCTGCCCCACCGACAGCCTCTATTCGGGAAAACGGCACTTGAGGAGTTTCCACAAGAAGCAAGAACCACCCTCGAATAGCACTAAAAATGCTTGGGACTTTTTTTTTTTTTTTTTGCCAGCAATAATTCATTGTTAGAGAAGTTTTACTTTTCCATCAGCAACGTGGACACATTTAATGAACCTGAAATCACATAGGGTCCCCAGGTTTTAAGGGACTGGGTTCATTCCAACAAAACAGAGCACCCTAATCCTCCCAGTCTTTTCTGTTCTAGACTCGGGGTGGGCTGCTGATTCACTCCAGGTGGAACTGACTCAGAGTTCCTCGGCTTTGTGGGAAGACGGAGGAAGAGCAGAGCTCCACAGAACCAGCTGTGGATCTGCGTGGGAGCCTCTCACATGTGCTCCACGGTCACACCACAGCTTTGAGTAGACTGTGCCGCTCAAGATGCAATGAAAGCCCTGAGCGAGTCTGCAGAGTTCTGAATCTTCCAGAACAAGGTCCAGGGTTTCTACGGAGAGGGATCAAGGGTGCTCTCCACTGTGACAAGTGGAGTCCTACACTGTTTCCCCTGAGAGTCACAGTGGGAATGCTGGGAAATTCTAACACACAAACACATGCACGGATAAAAATGCTGTCTGTGTCACATCACTGTGACACTCTGGGTTTTCCTGAGAAGAAAGCAACTGTGTGGTACTGGAAAAAAAAGCAGACGACTTTTTTTTAGCCTCCAAAAGACAACATTTTTGGCAGTGGATTACACTCAAGTTAAAGTTAAACCTGTTTTTTTTTTTTTTTTTGGGGGGGGGGGAGACACCCTGCCTTGAACCCCTGGACTCAGGTGATGGCCTCCTGTCTTGGCCTCCCAAGTAGCTGGGACTACACATGTACTTTATTGTTTGTAAGAGACCAGCAGGAAAGTAGAAAGGCTCTCTGAGCTCTGGGAAAAATGCGAGTCAGGACAAGGCTTTCCAGTACTGATCTCTGCCGTCACTTCACATCGAGTAAAATGTGTTTTCCATCATGCACATGAAAACACGGCCACAGACACAAAACACAGAAGGCGGAAGACGTCCTTGGTCACAGCGCCTCTGCACAGGGAGGAACAGCACCATTTCCGCCCCTTACCTGATTTCAGGAGGCGAGGAGCTTTCATTTGTGTCTGTCCTTTTATTTCTTGGAAATGATGGGCTGGCTGGAAACATTTCACCACTTAAGCGATCAGGGAAAATGCGGTCTTTATTCAAATTGATATCTGAATAGGGACAGCTGGCAGCACTGACAAATTAAAAGAGAAAGCAAAGGGCATTTCCATTAGAACGTAACAACTACTTTTCAATGAAAATGACAGGTTACAGAATGTACAGTCCCTATCTTACATCTGCTTCTGTACGCATATCTATACAATTAAACATTCACACACACACACAGCAACATTCTATCTATAAAACATCTTAAGTGTCTTCTGATTGAAAGCGTATCTCCACACCAGGTTTGAAGAAGCAAGCCATGGCCATCCTTGAAACTCAGCGATGGTTACAGAAGAATTCTCTTGGGGTTACTCAAGGGCAACACCTGTGTTAGGTCTGGGATCCACCAGGCCCCAGAAAGGACCGCTGAGGACCTGTAGGAGGGCTGGGGCACGGTGGGAGAGAGGCTTACGGGATCAGTGGAGCAGGTCTTGTTGCCAAGGGATCCTCCAGCCCAGGGCAGTCATTGGCTATCCAGTTTCCTCTTCCAGTCACCGCACTACCAGGAGGAGGGTACAGCAGGCAGTGTTCTGCCTCCATGTCCGTCTCCACATGGGGTGTCCCACAAAACACCCATGCAATCCACCACAAACCCACTTGGATGATGACCCGGTAGTTCATTCCCTTCCATCTGAGTCCACATATTGGTCTCTAAGGCCGACTATGAAAACCACTCCTGCTGTGTAAGCACAGGAGCTCAAGGTCACTGCGCATGAATTTGGAATCTGTGACTAGATGCTGGGCCTCGGCATTCCAGACTCCAGAACAACTGGCCGACTCTGCTCTTAGGGCCTGCAACGCATGATGCACTCCTACGAACTGCCTATTTTGCCCTCTATTTCCAGAAGTCTTTCTAAATCTGGAAATGGTCTGGACCTTAGGTAAGAAGAGTCATATCTTATGCGCACTTTAGGTTAGGTCATACGGTAGGGAGAATGTTGATAATCATGCAGGAAAGAGCTTTAAACCTTGGCTGTCTGTCACCCACCAAGTAAATGTGGTAACGCACTCCCAGGAGAAGCAGGGAAGAGTCTGGAATCTGCTCTGCTAATTCCAATAACGGCCTGTGGCGTTCATCACAGACATGGGTAAAAATGCAAGCTTGATGTCACCACATGCTGTTCCACACTGGTATCCTTGGCAAGAAAAGTCACACTGAATCATGGGCTGACGTAAATTACACAGTATGACCCCAAGAAAACCCAGTAATATAATGGGCTACTTACTTTGCATTTAGTATTGTGCTGAGTGCTTTATGTGCAATACCTTAGTCTTTGTAAGACTTTGGGAGCAAGGCTTTTGACATGGCAAACTGGTGCTGTTTGCTGAAGTGAGGAAGTAATTTTAGTCTTTATTTCATTCACTTGTTCAGTAAGCATTTACTGAATACTTGGTGCGGGCTAACTGACTTTCCAGGCACTGGGAACACAATGGAGAATGAAGGCAGGAGCCCTGGTCTCGTGGAATGGATTTGGAGCGGGCCTGGCCATGCAGGACCACAAAAGGTCAGCGACCAGGGTAAGTCTGAGAAGGGCGAAAGGTGCTGAGCAAAAGGAAGCAAAGCCTCCGACACTGGGAAGATTCCCGGATGGGCATTCCCACCCAAACACCACAGGCCCTGGTACGGTGCGGACAACTTACACTACCAACCCTCGAGGGCAGGACTATCTCCTGTTGAATAAATGAAGGAAAAATGTTTCCTTACATCATGTGGACAGCTCAGAGGGAAGGAAGCCTGCTGGCCTGAAGGACACTCACCCTCCACAGCCACCCCCGCATTGTTAAAAACAAACCGCCTGATTAAGGGAAGAATTGCAAGCTCAAGCAAAAGTAATAAAACAACCAAAGTCTCAGCTGTGAGGCTGAGGCAGGAAGACTGCTATGTTCAAAGCTAGACCGGACAACGTGGTGACTTAACAAGACGGTCTCAGAATAAGAAGAAGAAAAAAGAAAGAAAGAAAAGGCTGAGAATACAGCTCGGTGAAAATACTCCAGGGTTAATCCAGTGTCACAGATAGATAAATAGAAACATAGATACGTGAAACTGCAGTCAGCTGCTATTGCCTCTCTGAGCACTGCTCTATTCACCGCTCCCCGAGAGTCCATCTGAACCCCCTCAGAAGCAGGGGTCTGTCCTCTGAATGCTCACCTAATGCGCAAGGACACTAAGCAGGGACTCCAAGATGTGTGTTCCATGGATGGATGGATCAAAGCTGATTAACGAGGTTTGCAAATTTTTAGAACATTCTACAGACTTCATAAATATGCTTCAGAGGTACTGTTTTGTCACATTTTTAAAAATTTCTCCAAGATCGAATTTCACATAGAAACATTTACTTCTGTAGGTACCAGGCAGGTAGAATATTTATTTGTATTTAGCTTTAGTTACCCCTTAAGCCCTTCATATTTTTGACTTCTCAGCTGTCCAAAGGAATGAACTGACCAAAGGAAACATGTAACACATGCTGTATCAAAGCTCCCCTGCCCCAGAGCCAGAATTTAGCAATCTGGCTACTGAGTATCTGTGGCTATGGAGGGAATGGCCACAACCAGCTCTCTCCCAGATCACTGTTATTTCAACATGAAACAAAGCTGGGAGCGGATTTTCACATTCTCAGACTTCATTCCTGAAATGCAAGCTCTGTTGCTCAGGCTTCTTAGACCAAATCCAATCTGTAATCTTTGGTGACTATAAAAGCAAAATGCCAGTCAAAACAGTCTTCTGTGTCTGTGTCACAAAACTAACTCTTCTTGCTAAAGGAGCAACTTTCCTTATCTTAGCAGAGAATTCGAGTTTTGACTGATGCAGTTTCTCAATTAATCTGCAGAGAATTTTCTCATGACATTTTCCTAAACACAGCAGATCTTAGCAAGGACAAAAATCTGTCAGTGAGATGAACCATCCAAAGACTACCCACGAGGGGCAAGCTCTTCCCCGAGTCTAACGCAATGGAAAACAGGCCAGGCCTGAGGGATTAATATCCTGCCAGGAAAGGGACGGTGCATGTCATAAACAGCCTCGTCAGGGAGTCCAAGAAAATCCTGCTCGAAGACTGAGAAGAGCAGGCAGCACCTGGGCAGAAGCCGGGCCTCCCAAGGGCTCTGCAAACTATTCCTGTCCAGGGGCCCCATCCACCAACAGCTCTGCCCAAGGCACAGAACCTGCCGGCTGAGCCCCGCAGAGGTGGACGCCGGTTTCTCAGTCACCAGGGTCATTCTGCCCTTCCTTCAGGGAACATGACTCATTCTGTAAGAATTCTTTTTACCACATTTCTCCATGAACCCTTCCAGGAATCTTCACAAGATTTCTCCCTTCTCTTAACCCACAATGTGCTGCATCTATGACAAAATGCTCTAAAGCTCAACGGCGAAAGTCAGTGAATGGAGGCAACAAGGATGAGGGACAGTCCGGGTCTCCCTGCACCTGGCGGAAGGCACAAATGGGTGCACGGCAGAGCCACCGGCACAGACAGCCCTGTCACTGCAGACCTGACAGGCACGAGCAAACTCCCCCAGGAGGACCTGAAACCCTCCCAAAGGACTGCCAAAGGCCGCTGGCTTCCAGAAGAGCAAGTTAAAACTGTAAACAGTTGCATCCCAGCAATACATGGACTGCATTCATCCACTTTTTCTATTTCTTCATTCTTTTTCTTCCCAAGTTGAACAAACCGCTTTTAGTCCAATGAATGCCACAGGATTGGAGAGTAGCAGGCAGGTAAATGTGCCAGTTTCAATGCTAGTTATTATTCTTCAATGCTGGTTTTTATTTAAGTTTTAATGACTGTATAGCTTCTGTAGCTCCATTATTGTGTAACATCTGTGATTAACTTAGGGGAGGACCTCAAGGGGCGGTGGGTGGGGAGTCATCAACACTACAGATCCTTAGCTGAGCCTGATGACAAAAGTCTGTCATCCCAGCGCTTGCAGACACAAAAGCAGGGGTTTATCAAGCTGGAGTCCAGCCTGGATGGGGTGAATGCTCACTGCGAAGGCCCTGGGGTTAATCTCAAGTATTGAAAAATTAAAAAAAAAAAAAAAAAATCAGACCCTTACAGTTGGACTGGTCTCCCTTTCACCAGCTGTTAACAAAAACCAAAAGTTACCCCCTCAAAATCTGTGGGTAAATAACAGTTTCTAAATCATAGCATTAGTTTAAAAACTACCTAACAGGTACAAAGCAATTATAGTAATTCCTTGTACACAGTACAGAAATGCTCAAATATTAGTCCTTATTGAAACACTGACACTCAAAATTATTTATTGGATGAAAGAAATTTTGAGTATACAATGGATATTTACCATGCTCCTGAATTACTCCTGGCATTTAAACCTATACAGATTGTGAGAAAGAATCCTGACTTTCTTGACTAGGTAATATTTAATAACTTCTAAGGTGTATTTCTTCTCATATAACTTTCAGCTTACAGGGCTTGCAAGGGAAGAAAAGGATCTTTAAATGGATGATTGCAAGTGGAATCACCATCCTGGTGATTGCTTAGGTTTCTTTTCTTCTGGAATATACTAAACCTCATTAGAAAAAAAAATACGAGGGAGGAATGTTGCAAAAGGAAGATAAGCAGGATTTGAGGTGGAACAGATGAAAGAGGAAACTGCATCCAGACGAAATTAATTACATTCATTTTACAATCCTGGTTAACTCCTGAGGATTAGAGGGTACAGTTTCAGAATCTTAAAGACCTAGATTCATAACTTATACAAACTAGATAAACGAAAAATCATTTTTCTTACTGTGAAACCCAATTAATATGCACTTATAACACTTACTGAGACAAATTATTACTTGAATACATACTCAAATAGGATATTTTGTTCTTTTAAAGTGTCAGAGAAATCACAGGAACTCATGGGTACTTTAATAATACTTTTAAAATGTCTACAAAGGTTTCCAAGTCACTTGAACAAGACATCAAATGCAAATGTAAAGATTTGGTTTCCTTCTGAATTTATTTAGGAGAAGTAACAGAAAACAAAAAAGAAAAACAAGGTTTTTTGACTTTTACTCTATCAATTTTGTTGATATTTGTGTTTTTTCTGTGACTTTCATTACTAATCTACAATAATGCTTTTAATCATTCACACTGCCAGGTTCCCCAGTCACACACTATTCTACTAAATAATCTCAATAAAGTCTACCCTCTTCTCATTACCCTGAAATGGCCAACCCGTAACTATTTAAGAAGCCATGTATTTGTAAAACTAGTTAGGAGGTACCAGGTGTGGTCATACATGCCTGTGATCCCAGCACTCGGGAGGCTGAGGCCAGAGGATCACTGTGAGTTGAAGGCCAGCCTGGGCTACATAGTGACACTCTGTCTCAATAAATCAAAGCAAAATATACACACACATACACAAAACAACTACAGTCAGGTTGCCAGGAAAAATCAACTGAATAAAGACACTATTTTAAACCATGAATGCATTTTCTCTCAGGAAGATTTAACTTTAAATATATTCTTCATTTTTTTCACAGTCACCATGGCAACCCTATTGCTTATGGATCTGAGATTAAAACTAGTTCACATCTGTTGAGTGGCCAAGAAAACCATCTTAATCATCTATGGGACAGGGACCTTCTAATGACCTTGAAAGACATCCTTATGAGACATGGAGACCACGTACCTCTGAGGGCCCAGGTGCCTCGATCTCTTAAAGTGACCGATCCCCTTACATCCAAGGGTTGGGCATCCACCTTGGTCAGAAGCTTCCATTAATTCTGCAGCACCTACAAAAAGAAAAGAAAATGAAGGCATTCAATTTTTGAATGAACACGTACAGAAAAAAAAGTAGATAACTGTGCCCTTATGTGCTCTGTGTGCAGTACTCACAAATGAACTAAAGAGCACTTAATTTTTTAAAACTTTAATTATATATTTTTCCTGAAAGATATATAGTTATATATGTTACAATGTAAATATCTTTCTCTAAAATTAAGATCAGGCTAGTTTAAGTTCTCTCTGTATCTTCTTTGAAAACAGAATTTAAGTGAAATTTTTCACTGTGGTAACTATAGATTCACGTGCGGCTGCAGGGAATAATAAGAGGAAAATTTCTTTCACCCTTTCCCAAGTCTCCCAATGGTAACATCTTTCCAAGCTATTGTATAAAGTTATTATTAGGGTACCAGCACTGACACAATTTTGATAGTCTGACAAACTGTCTTCTAAATACTCGGTAGTAATTTTAAAAGGCAATGTTTGTTCACTTCTAAAAGAAAGGAGGACGGTATCTATACGTCGCTTTTTCAGGTAGTACGTGTTTTCGTTCATATTCTTGGGACTATGGTAATTGAACGTATTAAAAAGGATGGGACTGAGAAACAGTAAGGCAGGAGATGGGAAATAAGAAAGAGAAGGAAAATGGAAATAGCCTAAAGTCATTCTCGTGTGTCTTACTCAAAGGCGGCTGCAGCGGATGCCCGGTTTTGGAGCACCAGCCCACGGGGTGGATGTCGGGAGAATCAGCGTCTATCCAGTAGTCGTAGGTGCTGCTCCAGCCATCGAAATGAACCTGAGGACAGAGGACACCAAGACTCACCACCTTCCCAGAGTCCAGACGCCACCCACCACAGAGCCCTTAGCATCCTCTTTGACCAAAGACAGAAAATTCAATGCCCAGTAAATCATTTCAATTGCTGAAGATGCTTCACCTGAATGCCTTCTGCGTATAACCAGCCTATCAATAAATGCATCATTATTGGCATTTCTAGGGCATCTACTAGCTGCTTATCTTTGAACACCTCGAACAACATGGATATAGGAACTGCTATGACGTTTTCATACGATCAACATCAAACCAGCACGCACTGCTGGAGTAATTTTAAAATCCGGAGGCAGGAAGAGGGCACAGATGACGAGAGAGGACACACAGCAGAGGGAGACCTCTCACGCACAGAAGTGAAGTTTAAGAAACAAAAAATACAACATTTTACGAGAAACACCTGACTTACAAAATATTCCTCCATCAAACGCATTTCTAAATACTGTTCTTGTAAATAATGAAGAGATCTCTCACAGATGCGCCACCAGCTTCACTGGTGAAAGGGCAGCAGGTCGGTCTTTAATCACCGCCACGAGACATTGGCTACACGTCTTTTGAGGGGAAAGCACGTACTGGAATTATTTTTACAATTTACTTTTCCATCCAGTTTGCCAGTTAGATTCCTTTCTTTAAAGTCTTTGAATCTCCCACTTATCACCACACAGTAGATGTCGGCAGATAAAGAATTTAAACTCTAAAAGCTGAATGGCAGAGCGGGATGCTGCCCTAAGCACATCACCAAATTCAACCATCATGACAGACAAGATTGATCAATTGGACCACAAAGATTTTAAAATTTCAGTGGCAAAAATCACCACCAGCAAGGTGGAAGACCCGCAAGACACCTAAAAACCCCTCTGCCACACAGGTGACAGAGCACTTTCTCCCTCAATTTAGTAAAAACAATATGTATCTACAGAAAAAGATGAAAGCCCCAAAGGAAAGACTGGAAAGAGACAGGAATTGTTCATTATCAAGAAGACTAATAGTTGATAAACGTGTGGAGATAAAACCACAAGGTGCAAATTCTTCCTTAGCACGCCAAGCATCCGCCCATTCTGCTGACTTTTATAGCTGGGAATTATGAAGATAAAGGGCCATTCCCAAGACCATCAAGGGAGGTGTAGCTGGTGAGGTATTTCTGGAAAGGTGTTTGCCAATACCAATCAACATTTAAAATGCCTTATCTCTGACTTGATCATCTCAGTAACTCATTTTTTAATGGCAAGAAACAATCAGAAGGAACAGATTGCCACCACCAGCAAGCTGGCTAAATAAACAATGTTCATGGGATGGATCATACACGCCTTTATTGCAAGTACATGTTTACGAACTCAGTGTCCTTTGCAATGCATCATTTCTCAGGCTTAGAAATCAAACTTGAAACCACAGAATTCCAACATCTATCATTCATGTCACCCTAAAGAGAAGAATGGATTCATAAAGAGGAATTGGCAGCTATAAAGTTAGCTAGGAGGGGTAATGAGGTCTAGAATCCAAAAACTGGCTCACATGGGTAATCCCAGCACTCAGGAGGGTGAGGCAGGAGATCACAGGGGGTTCAGGGCCAACCTAGGCTACATGGTGAGTTCAAGGCCAGCCTGGACCACACAGGTGAAACCTTGTCTTAAAAGAGCCAAAAACACCCCAAGACAAAGCAAAATACCTGAACACAAAATCATCATTCACATACTTTGAATATAAAATAGCAGTTAAAGAAAGTTAACTCAAACAATGTTTTCTCTTCCTCTGATCAAAAATAATATTCAACAGCCTTTGTGTTGCCCATTCACCTTGGAAAGCTAGTGAATGTGGTGTCAAAAAAGGCATAAATAAAAGCTTTGCAGCTTTTTCCTGCCCTTATATTTGGTATATTTGGTGTAGGAGCTGCACAAGTAACAGTTAAAAAAAAAAAAAATTCAAGAGAGACAGATTTCCTACAGGGGAGGGGACGAGGAGGCGAAGGAAGGGAAGGGAGAGGGAGGAGAGAAAAGGGGAAAATAAAAATTAAGATGTATTTGTAATTTTACCACCTCCCTGCGACGAAGTAATTATTGTGTGTTGCAAGCACGCACTAATAACAATAAAACAAAACAAATAACCCCCCTAAAAATAATGTTCAGAATACAAGAACGGTATTTGTAATTTTTTGAAAACATAAGCTTGCGGTATCATTGCCACCAATAAGTAAGTAATCATAATGTATACTTTTAATGTAAGTTTCCAGTATTCTGATTTTTAATGAACCAGAGTAAATTATCATTTCTGTTTCACTAGTAACATGAAACCCAATGTTTGCTGATTCTGCTGCCCTGAATTTCTTTCATGTTGGAATCAGTGTTCACAGAACTCATGTCCTCTTTACTGTAAATTAACAATTAAATTTAATGGAAGCTAGCTATCTGCTTATAGTAAATGGTTTCAACCCTACCAAGAGAAAAAACTCAGGAGGAAGCTGGGCATGGTGGCGTATGCCTTTTATCCCAGCACTCAGGAGACTGAGGCAGGAGGATCACTATCAGTCAAAGTCAGCCTGGGGCTCCATGCTAAAAGATAAGTTTAAGGCCAGCCTGGAGTATACAGTGATATTCTGTCTCAAGAACCAAGCAAACAACAACCACAACAACAACAAAAGGCTCACTTTGGTTTTATGCAACCTCAATCCCTAAGTCATATCTATGTATCTCTTTGTCATACTTCTAAGTGGTTATAACATGAACTTAGAATTAAGGACCACTGACAAAATCAGGACATTATTGTATAGCAACATAGTCTTGAAATTTTTTATATGACCCATGATCAAAGGGGTCCTTTTAAATTTTCCTCAGGTGTAACTACGAAGAAAGTTTATTTTGAAGCTACTACAGCTGGTGACACTGTAGCATTTCTAGTTTTCATCTAAGCTGACATGTCAGTCTGGTAACTGAAGAGTAATCTCTCTAGGATTAATATACCCTAGGTGAATGTAATACCATTTGCAAACTAGGCTAGTAGATAAACTGGATATTTTTAGAAGCTTAAGTTTGAGGTATAAAATTGGTTTTGTTAATACACAATAGAATCACTATTTTCTCTACTAGGCTGCAAACACATTTATAAATATACTATTAAGTTATGCAAATATACAGAGAATAAATACTGATCCTACTCAATATTTACACTCTGGAAGCTCAAATAGCAATTTTATTAAAGTTTGTAAAATTTCATTTCATCTATAATTTTTATGATCTCAGTCTGCAGCTATTAATGAATAAAAATCTTCTATCCTCTACAGTTTAAAGATTTTTTCTCTTGCCAGATACTATTTTGAAATGAAACCAAATACCTAACAAAGAGCAACAAGATATGTAAACCTACAACATGAAATACTTGAAAATTTTATACATAAGTGTAAAATTTATAACAGACATAATTCCAAACATATTCATATATAGAACTAATTCAGCCACAATGCTGAATTCAATGAAATTTCTTAAGAAAACAGACCACTGTAGATCAAAGTATAGCAATGAGTACAGTGTTTACCCAGAATTATAATTTGGACCTTGTATATAAACCTCCCATATATTAGTGACAATTTTAACATAAAGACAGTATTTTAGAAAACACACAGTTTCTTTAGACTACTTGACTCTGTGGTGAACAAGATTTCCTTATTCATAATATGCTGAAGAGTGGGAAAATCAACATTATTTTACTAAAAGGACAAGGGGAAAAAATGGCAAGATCTGTGAGTTCAACTACTATACTACTCTAACAGGAGCAAAATAAACTGTATGTAAAGTTGAAGAATTGAAAAATAGCAGGATACAGATGATATGGTAGAAGATTAGAGATAAAACGTCCTAAGAAATAAGCCGAAGTGCCAAAGGCTCTTGTCTCCGGGGAGCTGGACTGGGGGCCGGCACTGGGCAGCCACTGGGTTCTGTTCTGTCACCAAGAACGGAAAACACTCTGGTTCCTTTGCTTCAGTGACATCTGGCCAAATATTTGAGTTTTAAAACAACTTACTATAACAGCTCATGATATGAAATACTGTATTATAAATTATATGCGTATTATTTATAGGATGTGTGACTAAGAAGTTTATTATATAACCTTACCATACGTAGTGTAAAATGCTGATTTTATTTAATTTCATTTGATTTTATCCCTGAGAAACTTACCATATTAAGCTACTCTTTGTTTACATTTTCCTCCTGTTTTTCTGCCTCTCTGAAAAAGAAAAATGAACTTCCTTGCGGCACCATCTCCCCTTATTACGAGGAAAAACCACTGTTAGAAGCTTTTTATGTTTGCAAAGCTTCTGATGAATCTGAAAGGGAGTCGCTGTCCCTGTTCGGGGACCTCTGGAGGACTTACAAACAGCCAGACCCAGCTCAGCAGTTCACCTCGGCAGCGCGGGGACATTCACCCCGGGGACTGGAGGAAAACGATGGCCACCGCACACTCACAGTGACCTCTGTTCTATGTTAGGCGGGACCACGCTGGTCCTCTAGAAAGAGAAGTCGCTACCAGTCCAGGGCTGGGTGTTCCTCTCAAAGCTTCCTGTCCATCAACCCAAGCACCCGCTTTTGACGGGTTAACTTCTTGGGGCTGTGTTATCCTCACATGTAAAATCACACGTGGGGTCTAAATTTTTGTTACTAGAGAAGGAACACAGATTTCTGAAAGCAAACAATTAATAAGAGAAACTTAACGGTGTACAGTTTCAGCATTCCCGCAAGAAGCACCATCTTTACTGTGGTCTGTTTCTTTCCAGAGCCGATTATGCATCTGTTCTTTTGGGAAACAGCAGTCAAAACTGAACATAATGTGAAGCCTGAAATCTTCACTTGCCAATAGCAAACATCCTTCTAAAACATGAGAATTTACCATCGCTGTATGTATGTTTTGCCCACCAGCTACTGTATTTGTTCTCAATGCTAAACACTCTACTCAGAATTGCTGTTATCTTCTCTGGAGCTTTTCTCTTTGAGTATTTCCAAAACAGACTGAACTTCTTGAGTTAAAGGATAAACAACGTTCTAGGATTCTGATGCCAAACCCCTGGGATACTTTAGATTCCTCTGAGCCATTACATAGTAATAAACCTTTCATATACTAACTAACCTAACTAAAATCAGCCTTTCCCCCCAATTCTAAGCAACCTGACTTACCAAAATAACATAGTACTTAATTCTGCATTTCTTTGGCTATCTAGATTTTTTTCTTTTTTGGTAAGGGGGATCTAAAACCTCACGCTTGCCAAGCGGGTGCTTATGTCGCTGAGCCACATCCCTGGCCCCCTATGTAGATTATTTAAAAAATATTTCCAGTTTCAATATATTCTGACTGCATTCTGACTTACATCACAACCAACTGCAATTAACAAGAAAATGCACTTGAAAAAAGGTCAACACAGGCCCTGCATTATTTATAAAATTTTCCAAAAATGTGGGATTATATAATCTTTCACAGTGAATTGAATGTTAAAATTTCTCTCCTATAGGAAGACATTTCCACAGCCTTTAGTGTGTTATTTTAAAGCTTATTTTGTTGTACATTATCTCAGTGGAGACAGCTGAGATTGTGATTCATTATTATATTTTAAAAATAAGCATATATCTAGGTTCCCATGGTGCAGAATTGAGACTTATTTCTACTGCCACTGCGCTGCTGTAGTATGGGAATAAAGCTCACTACCCAGTCCTTCTGAGCCACACTGTCATCAGTCACAAGGTGACGACAGCCTGTCTTCCACACCGCAATGAAGCAAGTGTCACAAACGGCAGGAAAAATGCCTCGCGGAAGGAAGGTCTCGCAGGTATCATAATCATCATGGTTCCTAACAGAGATGCTACACAGTCCTTTGCGGTGAGTACTAAGGTACCAAAGGAGCAGTGCGCAAGACAGGAGTCGGTAAGGCCCCATGCTATGCTGCTCCAAGCCTGGACAGACAAACAGAACCCACCTCCCTAGTAGTCGCTTCCATTAGCAGAGGGAATCTGATTTTATTAATCCAGTTCTAATAGTATGGTGTCTACTTTATTTTTCTAAACACATGCGCAAAATATGTAAAGTCACTCATAATCTGAGAGAAAACATACAGGCATGGTGGTGCATGCCTGTAAACCCACCACTTTGGGCAGGCAGCTGAGGCAGGAAGACCACACATTTAAGCCCAGTCTGGGCAACTTAGTAAAGATCTTGTATCAGAATAAAAAGTAGCTACAACAACCACAACAAAAAAGATAGGGGAGGTTGGGGAAATAGCTTAGCACAATACCAAGTCCTTGGGTTCAACCCCTAGTACCACAATATGCACAGAAAGACAAATGCATGGGATGGATGGGAAGGGATGGGATGGCATGGGACGGAACAAAATAAAAAGAAAACATTTTAAGCATCTCAAAGGAAAAAGCAAAACTCACAAATGACTACTTTTTGCAGATCTTCCAATAATTTTATTAGTAATTCCAGGGCTTTAGAAATTATGTATCTACTGGTTTCCATTTAAGACGACCTGGAACAAAAGCCAAGCCAAATCCCACCCGAGACCACTTACTTTGATTCTGTGGTCATCTGTGTCTGCCACGGTCGCGACTCGGATAAACATGGGGTTCCTCTTATCGACGACCTCCAGCTTCATCTTTTTCTGGAAACCATGCGGAGGTTTCTGCCGTAAGAGAAAAGTCCCCAGTCAGACTGAGAGGAAAACTCGAGAGGCTGATGCGAGGAAGAATAGGAAACAGATGAGCTATTTAGGGAACCAGTTTTTCAAACTCTCAAATTCCCAGCGTGGAGGCTCTGGATAACAACTTCCCTACCAAAAATAAAATCACAACAAATGCAGAAGAAAGACAGCTTGGTACTGAGCTGAGGAGTGAAAGGGGAGGGGGCCGAGATACTCTGAGTATTTCCTTAGCTGTAGGAGAGGTTAGACAATTTCCTCATTGGTGGGCGGTGTCTCAGCAAAACATCAAAAAGCACTAACTTTATTTTTTTAAAAAGAGATGAAAAAACAAAAGAGAGGCTGAAACAATGCACCAAGATTGAGAAGGACTGACGGCGAAAGGCAGAACATAGCTTCAGAAAAGAAGCTTAGCAAGATGGGGTAGCTCTTACAAAGCCACCCGTCAGTTCAACAGGCAGAGAACACCATACACCTCTGAAACAGTTACAGGTGAGGGAAGGAAAGCACGGTGACAGCCTAATAAGGGGTTACGCAGACTACTTAGTATGTTCTTACTTCAGGCTCTTCTTCTGGAAAATGAGTGTGTTAAAAGTGCTGCTCTAAAAATCAAGCATGAAACTTAAGTATACACAGCCAGGCATGGTAGTGCATGCCTATAATTCCAGCACTTGGGAAGCTGAGGCAGGAGGAGGGTCAAGAGTTTGGGGCCAGCCTGGGCTACACAGTGAGTTCAAGGCCACCCAGTACCGTTTGGTAAGACCTTGTCTGAAAAAAAAAAAAAAAAAAAAGAGAGAGAGAGAGAGAGAGAGAGAAAGAAAGTGAAAATTATGTAAATGATATAGATCAATGCAAGTCATCTAAAAAGCCAAAAAGAAAAATTATAATTTTCTCTCTGAAAGATGGGGAAGTTGATCCTGCTGTAATGTTACACAGTTTAAAACAAGGTTAAAAAAAAGACACCGTTATGTTAGACTCAAGGTTACACGGAGTAAATAAAACTTCATGAATATTCCAGTAACTCTAAACATTTCTTTTAAAATTCCAAACCTACTATCAGATGAAGTCATACAAATTCTCTGACAGTGTGTTTCTGCATGTAATGTGGTTTCACTCTTAAAAATTCTTTTATTTGCAGCGCTAGAACAAATCTAGTGTCTCACACACGCTGGGCAAGTGTTGTACCCCCTGGAGCTGCGCTGCTGTTACCATCTTTATCTCTGTCCACGACCACTAAGTGTCATTAAAAATTCTAGCAAGTTATACATAAAAGTATCATTTAAAGAACAAGTATTACTTATGATAGACTATGTCATTTAAAAAATTTTTAAAAATCCTTCAAATTCATGAGAAAATACAAATGTTAAAGTTATTTGAGATGAAAAAGCAAAAACTACATTTCATTTATTCTTCTTCTATGGCTTAGAAATGAGGCTCACCCTGCATCTCAATAGATTTAGTGCAAGAAGTAACAACCCTGGAATTTTGAGAGATAAATAAAAGCAGATGACCTTGATTTACCAAAAAATGCTGATCTGTACCAGTAAAATACAAAACAGCATCTCGACTTGCCACAAACAAATGCAAAGGAGTTACAAATGTAATTTTTATCTGGAAACATTTTCCCATTGAATAGGTCTTTAGAAAAACACAAACTTGCTGTAAAATTTCAACCATTCTTTCTACAGTTTCAAGTAGCATTATTTTCCAAGAAGATTTTAAAATCTAATAAGAAAAAAAATTATGCCAACAATAACCCCAGTAACTATTTTACTTTACAAAAATTATAAAATCTAAAAACATCTTCTTCGGTCTTGTGGTTTCTTCTTGTCCTCTTTTGGCTTACCAGTACCATCTTTCTCTGTACTTAAATGTAAGTGAACAGACGATAGCATCAACGCAAATTAATCAAATAGTATAAGAAAGCATGTTATCTCACCACTTTGAAAGCTCTTGCAGGAGCAGGTAAAGAATTGGTTTCTTCTAAATATTTATCCCAAGAAAAATGTTTCACATTTGGATAACCTAAGAAACAAACAAACAAACAATATATATATAAATCCTATGAGATTTAACCAAAAAGAGGGAGAGCAACGAATTGCCCTACAAAAACTAGGAGATACTGCTTAGGAAATTGTGTTTATACCCATAGAATGACTTTAAATTTGTAGCACTTCAGGATTATTTGTAATGATTTTGCTTTTATCATAATTATGACTTTGCTACTGCTTTTTGGATAGAAAGATGCCTTTCGCTTCCTCCAGAGACCAACTTCCATTAGGCTGCCATGAGCAGAAATTACAGCGGCCCAGCAGGGAGGGAATTAGCTGCAGTCTCAAGCAGCTCCATAAAGGGGACTGAGAAAACACCCAACTGTATTAGAGACCACAGAAGCTAAGCTTGTTCCTGACTGAGAAGTACAAGGAAGTGGTTCAGAAGGAAGAACACCAGAAATGAAGCCAGTAGTGTTGGACTAGAGCTAACGGTATCAATCCGCAGTTTGCAGCACACACTGGTGCAGAGACAGGCACCCGTTGCTGTATAAATTTACACAGATGCATTTCCTCCGTCCCTAAGAAGGATGGGCAAAGCACATGCCAGCAGCAATACACACACTAGTGGCCAATTCTGGAGATCATTCTCTACTGAAAGAACCCGGGCTCCCCCGGGAAACTGCTGGCCATGGGATGGCTCAAGGTGAGACCCAGCTTAGCTGCACTGGGATGTAAGCAGGTCTCCCAACGTGGAAAGAACACATCAGAAGACAGGGGCTCCCCCCAGTAGAATTTTAAAGGGGCTCCCACCAGCTAAATCTCACAAAGTCTGACATGAAAATAAATAGTACCACTCAGGGATTATAATTCTTTGTTAAAAATAGTAATCTGTGGGTCACACTGATAATAGATAAATGGAATAAACGAAAAAGCTATTCTTTGCAGAAGAAAATTAACTATTTACAAAGGGTAATGATAAATGGTGTGATTCATACTGAAAAATTACCGTTTGTAATTTTAAAATAATAACTCCTACTAGCTGTACCAACAGATGCTGAAACTATCGGGTGATTGTAAAGTGAGAAACAGGATGTTCTTCACATTATATTTCTAGAAAATACTCATTAATGACTGGGGGAAAAGTATGTATGTTAGGGAAGAAACCTGTCAAATACTGTCTTGATCAATCTATGGTGGAAAGACAGACTGACATCATGTGGCCCTAGAGGATACAAATGCAGCACAGTATCTGTTCTGTGATATTCCTGCCAAAATGCATAACCCGGCTCTGAGAAAGCGCAAACACCCATCTCACACAGTAGCACTCCGCACCGTGACGACTGTGACCCTCACACACCGTGAGGGTATAAAAGGCAAGGAGAGCATAACTGAGGGCGGCGGGAGGGCCGGAACTGAGCTCCAATTCTCATCCCTCGGCTAACCAGTCACAGCTTTTGGTCAGCTGACTAAGCTGAGTGGCTACCAATGAATTCTGTACCACCTCTTGCAACTTTTCTACATCTGAAATTACTTCAAAGGAAAATATTTCAATAGTAAATTTCTTCTTTTTGAGAATCATTTTGTTTTACGTCTTGTACTGATAACTTCTTTGAAGACATAGTGTATTGACTATTGTTACTCTTATTGTTATGAGATTTTAGTTTTTTCATAAAAAAGTAAATCCGCAAAACTATTTCTGTATAGACACATTTGTAAGGAACGTATCTTGCACAATTGAAGTAATTTAAATCAGAACAGTCTACCAAATGAAACTGATGGGGAAGCATGCATGTGTACATACACACAAAAAGGCTGATGTCAAATTAAACCATAAAAAGAGGTAAGTGTGATTACTTCTGGTTTTCACTCTAAATTTAAAAACAAACATGCAGGTGCATATGATTTAGAAAGATGAAGATTTTAATTTTAGAAAGAGAACAACAAAGACAGCAGCACAATTCACAGCGCTAAGCCTTGAAGCAGCCTGTATGTTTACCAACGGATGAAAGAACAAGGAAAAAGGGGACCACAGACAGAGTCTCTTCCACCATGGAGCCAAGAGCACCCGCCTGTGTCCAGTAATCCATTGTCAAAATTTGACAGATTTGTGTTGGTGTACTGTTTTTATTGTGGTACAACATGTAATGTGCAATGTTAACTTTTAAACCATTCCTAGGTGTACAGTTCAATGCTATTCACTCTTAGACCTTGGTACAATTTTTCGCATGACATTCTGAGGTTTTAAAAACTTTCCAAGGGCTGTTATTTTCTGTTCTGCTGAATTATCAGTGACTTGGCTTCTGCCTTACAGAAGAGACAGCAATCGTGATGAGCCTTATCCCCACCCAGGGGTCAAGTCCAGGGCCTTGGGGGCCAGGGGATCACTGATTATCTATGAGATCTCTGACCAACCCAAAATGGTACTGTAGAAAGAAAGGATTCATATCTAACCAGAAAACCCTAAGAAGCCTCAGTGTGTTTAGATGGGGACAGTGATAGATTTAACTATACAGCTGTCAGTCGCTAATATTCTATAAGCCAGAGGACACGGAAAGCCAAACATATCTTCCAGACAGCCCATTTGGAAATTAATTTGCAGAAAAAATATTAACTATGTACAAAGAGTAATGAGAAATAATGTGACCTGTACTGAAAAATTACCGTCTAGCAACAGTAAAATATTAACATATATTAGAAATATCAACACATGCTAAAACCAGTTAATGGTTCTGAAATGAGACGCAGGATAGGTGCACATTTGTATCGTGCTTTCTCCAATCAGCTCTGCAAATTAGCTGGGGCAGAGGCTTCCCTTTCCTCCCTTGAACACAGGAGAAAACTCAAAGTGGGGTAGACAGAGCGTGCTGGTTGCAGGGATGGTTGGTGCCTGGTGCGGAAAAGATCAGGTGAGGGAGGAGCTGCAGGAGGATGGCTGTGAAGAGGGATTAAATGATGCTAACCACAGCTCTGACCCGAGCCTCTGCTCACACAGCCCGCAGGACGCACCCACGGGTCACTCCTTCTCTGTATCAAGGCGGTCCACCCTGGTCAGGAAAACATCCATTGTCCTGCAAGGTGAGGCTTTGTGTGAGCTGAGGGTCCAGCCCTGCCTTCTCCTACCCGGGGGGACTGTGACATTTCCAAAACTCACATGCTCCAAGAAAAAGAGCCTTGATAATGATGAATCTGCACAATTTGTTCTCCAGCCCAAGACAACAAATTCACAAGTAGGACACTGTTTACCCCCAGTGCCATGACTCACTACCATGAGGAAGCACAGAAGCTGAGAAGGCTGTAGGGTCAGGGGTGCACGGTGGCAGCACCCCCCAACCTCAGAACAGAACCATGGGTGCACAAGAAGAAAGGCACCGCTAGCATCGGGAGTAAAATCTACTTTGGAACCAGGAAGCACAGCAGAAGAAAGAGAAACAAATGTGTGAACGCTAAAATAAAAACATCTGAGGTTTCAAGTCATCACACCAGCGTGAGCATCAGGCTTCTGGCCAGACCTGAGCCTCTACACGGGGTCCGCAGTCCATCCACTCTGCGGGGTCCTCCACACCCACACTCTTGGACTTGGCCAAGATTGGAAACTGACACCTGCGCTGGGTGACACCTTTCAACGCATGCTAACATCAAGTCTTAAATTTCAAGTTGAGAAAGAAAAAAGTGTTTTGAATCTGAGTTTATTTTTCCAAAGAGGACCAAAAATTGAGACTCTGCTTTCAAGTAAGCCAATGCCCAATGTGCTTGAGGATCAGGACACTCACTCCTGTGGCCAGCTGCATATTTTCTGTAAAGAAAGTGCTGATGCAATGCAGCCACATCTGTTCATGTACTGTCTGTGCTGCACCCAAGCTGAGCATTTGTGGTAGAGGCTTTAGAGCAGGCAAAACTTTAAATATTTACTACCTGGGCCTCTGTGCACAAGGTCTGCTGACCTCTGAAGTAGGGGATTAGACAGGTAGGAAACACAAACCTGGTGGAGTAATGAGGGTTCTCCTGTGCTCTTTACACCAACCAACTGGGTGAATGTGTGGACTGGATGCTTCACACCTGTGGGTTATACAAATTAAAAAGCTGTAGTCATTATATAAGCTCAAAAACTAGTCTTTTTTAAAATGGTTCGTTACTGATCCCGAACACCTTACAGAGTTGTTTATTATAATCTACCTAATTTGCAGATAGTTGCTAAACCAAAGGGAAAGTTAAAATCTTGCACTTTTTTCATATGCAAATGGCAAGCAGCATTCTAGTAGATAAATGTCACGATTTGACACCATACAATTTTCTTCCCCCTATGAGTATTGTTTATATCCTGACACTTCAAATGTAGAAGTACAAAGATCACATTATTAAAATTCAGCATTCTTATCCACAACCAGCGTACGGAGAAATAGACCACCTGCACACAGGCAAGCAGAGATCATTTCACCATCCTATTCCGCAGTATCATGGCAGAGACCACTGTTAAAATAGTGCTTCTTCCTCTTCCCTTCCACCTTCTTCTCCTCTATGTAATCCCCACTGTAGCTAAGTGCGTGTTTCCAGAGCCTTTCTGTCAATGCTCAGATACCGCACTTCCGGTTCCCTGATCCTAACCTGACTGCGCTGCGTGTTTCTCATCTCAACATGCGACATATTTCTCCACTCAGTCATCCAGGTACTGAGATGTGGATGAGGGGCCTGGTGCTGGACAGACAGAGAAACTGCAGTGAATAAAACAACTTTCAGGGCAATTATGCTATAGGAAGTAAACAACAAGCAAAATACAGTTGTCCTTCTGTATCTGCAAGGCTTTGGGTCTAGGAACCTTGCAGGTATCCAAATCAGAGGCTCTTCAGGTCCCTAACACAAAATGGTGGTCATCTTTCGAGTACCCTTGTCATACCTGGTGTAACTAACACACCTTGGTGACAAGCGCTAAGCAGAAGGGAACGAGCAGACTGTGTAAGTACAAGAGAGCGCCTCATGGAACCTGGTCAAGTCGGCTACTCGGTGAGGAAAAACTTGGAAGATTTGAACAGAGAATGGCGCCACTCGTGTATATGAAGGCAGTTAGGGCACAGATGACACCAAGTGCAAGGTTATGCATTGGGAACCTGGAAGGACTGTGTCAGCAACAGGAAGGAAGAGAGACCAAGGAAAGCACAGACCAACAGGAAATGATGTCAGACAGCAGGGCCCTTAGGCTACCACGAGGTTTAGGATTTTACTCAGACTGAACTAGAACATCCCTGTGGAGGTTTTAGGCACCGTCATAGCTTACACATATTTGTGCTTTAATTATTCTGGCTGTTCTAAGAAAAGTAATCCACACAGGTGGTGAGACAGGAGGTGGTCAGAGGCTATGGGGAGAGTGGACCATGTGGCTTGAATCACAGGGGCAGAGGTGAGGAAGAAGGGGCCATGTTTTACGTTAGTATTTTAAAGTAGAGCCAAGAGGATTTGCTGCCGGATTTAATGTGGGGTGTGCATGACCTGAAGCAGTCAGGACACTACAAGGCTTTGCACGTGGTCAACAAGAAGAACGCAGTGGCCGTTTTCTGCAGTGAGGAGGACCCCAGCACAGTCTCTAACATCTCGAGGGGTGACAGAAGGGTCCTGCTATTGATGGATGCCGAAAAGACAAAATGCATGAAACTCGGGAGTTCAAGGACAAGATCAAGGCCAACAGCACAAATCCAGGAGCCATCAGTCATCGGGAGGGTACAGTGTTTAACACTCGGGGCACAGCGGAGGACGCCCAGGTAGTGTGTGGGCTGGCAGGCCCCGGCCAGGAAGGACTAGTGGGGAGAAGTGGGAAGACAGAGTGAAGGTGCGGCTGGCGTGGTCAAAGATGGGCAGGAACTGAACGGATCTCTGGAGCTGGACCTCATATGAAAGCTGGGGATGGAAAAGGGCAAACGACTGAAGGAAGCAGATCAGGAGACACTGCAGGACTAAAACAGAAAACATGTGTAAGGGGTTCTGTGATAGAAGGGGCCAGAGATAGGAGGCAGTAAAGGGCAAAAGAGAAGTTTTGTTTTGTTAAGTTGGGAGAAGCTGAAGCCCGGATGGCAACCCTCTGTATCGTTGTTACAAATTTTAAGTGTACAATTAGTTGAAAATAAGTTTTTACCAAGATGAAAAGTATTGCCTTTTCAGTCAAAAAATTACAGCAGAGCAACATCCTCAGTCAGGGGACTGTTTTTGACACAATGACATCACTGGTAGAGCAATGTCCCGCGACTGCGAGGGGCAGGGTGGGCCCAGGGCCTGGAGCTGAGCGCCCACGGCGGCGGCAGGACTGGAGCCCCAGTCAGTCCAGGTGGGACGCGGGAAGATGGAGCAGGATGGACAAGGCCCCGCCGCTCTCCTCAGTGAAACAGCAAACAAGGTTACGGGGCAAGAGGGAGAACAGGAAGAGGGTGAGAGACGTCAGAAAAAACTGGGAAATGTCATAATCTGGAAGGACAAGGAAGGCAGGACCAAAGGGCACCCCCAAGGTTCACAGACAGGAAGCCAGGAAGATGGATTCGGCCAGGACTGGAGTTGAACCAGGCAAATGCACTGTCAAGAGATGGAGTCTATTGAGCGTGTGAAGAAATCACAATACACTGTGTTTTCCAAAAGTGAGAAAGTGGTTAGAGGTGGGCTCAAAACAAACAGTGAATGTTTAAATTTACAACATTCATTTCAGGAAAAGACATACTGCCATTAAAGCCCTGCAAACCATTCCCTCTTGATTCAGGCACACTTATCTCATGTCCTTGCCGCTCTCTGAGGCAGTTCTGGAAGTGCTTTCCTGAGTGTCTTTACGATGTGCGAGCAAAAATACACAGAATACTGCTGCCTAGTGTCAGCCAACATAAAGGCTGGGTGGTTAAAACGTCATGCCGTGTCCCCCACCTTGTTCATGGGATGAGGCACAGTGCATCTGCTGGCTCTCCGAAGTCAGAATGACCATGAAAGGTAAAGGTTTTAGACTGACTCAGGACATCCACCTAGCCATGACAGCGCAACTAAAAAGACTCAACCCAACAGAATCACAAAGCTGATTGCAAAGGGCCAAGAACTTGGAGGGGAATCAATGGCAATGCGCCTTTTAATATCACTGTATTTTTATCAGACCTGCATATGTGGGTGTGGGTGTGCATGTGTGTGTGTGTGTCTCAGGATGACACAAAACATAGTTCAGAAAAACACAACATGCTACTACTTAGAGACTGACAGTATCATACAACAGGAGCATACTAAAGCTGAAACTGCACTGGGGAAACTAGCTGTGACTTGTTTGATGTAGCACATCCTAATGATAATTATGAAACACTGCTTTGTTAGGAAAACTATTAACACTGCACAGAGTATGAGTGGTGTGCAGGGCCGCCAAGGAGCCCAGGTTTGGTCCACTAACCAAGTCTGATGCCTCTGTTCTGAGGGATCAAGAAATCAATGCAGCCTTCCTAATGGGAAAACAGAAGGTAGATCACCGGGAGGGTACCAGCAGTTGGAGATTCTAGTGAACTGAAAGTCTAATGAATACAGAAAAACAAAGCACTTTCTTAGGAAATGAGACTGATGTAGTCACCCTATTTCCAAACCAACCTTCTCCGGGGCATAGATTCACAGGACAACACGCTGTGAGCTGGGGTGCCTGCTTGGTTCCGCTCACTCTCCTCAGTCAGAGTCAGTAAAAAACCCTTTTAACCTTATAGCGGATCCCTTCTTTTCTTCTCTTAAGTTACTTCTGATCACATACCTTCCTCCTCTGATAAACTGCTGTTTTTCCGTATACTATACAGGAGGGTACAGGTATGTAACAGCTTTTTTAGAAATATGAAAATAAACAGGTAAAATGCCAACTTCCCTTGGTCACTGCTACACTTCTTACAATATGCATTTTCGTAAGAGACATTTTAACACACCATTCCTTAAGACGTGTTGCTGTAAAATGTATAAACGGGGCCCTAGAGCTCTACTTCTAGCTCTCCTAACTTTTCCTAAACAAAGATTTTATTATGGATAATTACTAATGATGCATTTCATTTCAGGGGAGGTGTTAATTCATACACAGCTTCATTAAGAATGAAAAATAAATATATGACATGTGTTTAATTTTCCCTTCTTAATCTAATAAAATTATAGAGTAGCTTTTATAATTATCTGTCAGAGTCATGGTGATTATTTTAAAGCAAGAAAATTAAACATTACTCTTGGTGTTACTGGATTTTTCTATAAAGTATAAGTAAGGAAAATAATACAGCATATTATGGGTGCTCGTCCCGCTGACTCTTACACTAAGGTTTTAATAACATTTAAATATCAAAGTTTCTAATTTAAGTTAAAAACAAGCCATCTCAATAGAGAAGATAAAAATGCCTCCTTTTAAAATCTACTTTATTTATATTTTCTCAATAAGCAAACACGTCATTCAAAAATTAGAAAGCTATGAACTCTTTTCAGCTACCACTGTAAAACAAGTCATCCCCTAGTCCCATCTAGTGTTCAAAGGCAGAAATGTAACCCGAAAGAAATACAAAGAAGGTGGTGAAAGGCTTAGCAAATCCCTGAGCAAAGTACCTATTATTAGGGGTGTGCAGTATATCATCAAAGAAACGTTTCAAAAACATTTTTTTTAAGAAAGTAAAACTCAGTAAGAACTGTGAGAGTAATAAAACCCAAAATGTGTAATTGTCATTGCACAAAAGAAAGGAAAAGAAAGTGCTCTAAAGGATATAACTGCATATATATTTAAGTGTATAAGATAGATAACCATATTACTGAGTTTTGTTGGATCACTGAACAAAACTGTTTGCAGTCTCACTGTTTGAAAGTCCACTTTATACACTTTAATTTTGTAACCTGAACAACTATTTCTAAGATAACAATATATAATCTATTAACTAGTGATTTCCTACTTTCATTTTTCTGAAATTCTGTATAACTTGTACCCTTTTTCTGTTTTTTTTCTTTTTCTCCTTGAATAAAATTTAAAAAAAAAACAGTAAAACTTATTCCCAAAGACTGCTAAAATTCAATCAGATCCAGACCAGTAGATTTTGAAAAGGTAAGAAATCAAGTAAATAATTCATAAACATGATCATTTTATGGAAACACAAAGAGGTTAAGTAAGTTTACCAAGCCCTTGGGTTGGAAAGAAAGATTCTACTTTATCAGATGCAGCCAAAAAAACCTAATGCACACACCCGAAACTCCACACACCTGGCAGCGTCTAACATTTCAAGGAGCTCACTTCGGTCTCTTTGTTGCAAGCATTAATGGCTTGGGTTCTTTGGAGAACTACAGGACACCAGCCTTTCCCATTCCAAACTCAGAGCACAACTCTGCCCCGGTGTTAACTAGTACCCAACTCTCTTGGCTTCCCGCCATATACAAACTCCGTAGGGCCTCTCTGCTTTCTGACTAAACCCCAAACCTCACCAGGCTGAGTCAACCTTTCCATCCCTAATTTATAGCCAAACATATTCTCCACAGCAGCTCTTGTAAATATTAATTAATTTGCTTCCAGATGAAAATCTCTCACTTTCCTTTTCTTTTTCTCCAACCCGAGAGATGACAATTTACTGGTATTGCCAGTAATCAATTCCATTTCAGATATCTGCATCCTCCCTCTTCACAATGGTTAGAGACCTTCTTCCTGCCTAAAGACCAAGCTCAGATTGCTCCAAGTTAAATTCTCTGTGGACACAGACTCCCCAGGCAATAACCTTCTTTTCCTTTTAACACCAAACTCTTCCGATGTCCCTGATGGCCACCTCTCCAACCTTCTGTAAATTTCCTAGCTCCTAACACTCTTCATCCTCACCTTGCATGACAAGATAGAACTTATTCTTAGTTTATTTTTTGAAAGGGGGCAGCTGGTGTTTAGAAGAGTGAAGAAATTAACCAAATATATTAGATGCCATTCTCCACATATATCCTGTCCTGGCCAAAACAATGCTTTCCTTGGCTAGGGATACTCCACACCAACATCTAAGAGCCAATTCCTTTCTTCCTTCAGTCTCACTCAAATGCTGAGACACTCGCCAACCAGTCTGAGCTGGTCCTTGCCTCCCTGTGCCACAGAGACTGCAAGAGATTGTTTCCAACAATTCCACACCCATCGCACAACCCCGGCAGTGGTGCCTGCTTGTGCTTCTCGCCTTTCCCCATCACAGAGCTCAGGGATGAAGCTGAAATCTGCTTGGGTCCCACTCATCTCCACTGACCTCCCCTCTCCACCTTCTGCTCCCCACTTAACTGACAGGTGAGAAGCCTGTTAGCTAAGACACGACTCAAGACAACTGCAAACCCAGGGCAAACTCTTCAGCATTGTTTTAGGGAGACATGCAAATTATCATTCATAAATGTAAGAGATCCACTTCTATAAACAGTTGGCAAAACCGTTAGGACAATCAGAAAAACACACTTGCCTGAGGCGTGCACTAATCCACTAACTTGCTACTTCTTTTTCATGGATCTGCTCCCAGCTGACTGAGCCCTGACTTACAGAGACACCCCTAAAATGGGCTCCAGGCACCTGAACCTGCCATCTCCATCGAATATGCTCTTCCTACTTAACAGCAGGCTAAGTCCCTGTGTTACACCTGAGTCCCAAAAGACAAGGTCACAAGAAAAGAACGTTTCTTAGGAGGAAGTCTTTTCCAGTGCTGTGTGTGTGAGTGTGTGTGTGCGTTTGCATGCATCTGTGTTTGTGTCTGTTTGAATATGTGTTGCGCCCCAGATCCCAACCTTTAGGAAGCTGGAACCTGAGATGACAAAGAGGCTGTAACCAGTGCAGAAGAGGGGACCATCTTTTGGTCCCTGCTTTCCCTCCTAGATCTTTAAAATCTCTTCTTTCCTGCAATAATATTGTGTGATACTGAGGATTATTCTTCAGTCTAATGACTCTCAAGGCAACAGAGTTAAACAGCTATCAATTAGCTAGCTTAGAAGAAACCCTGACATAAAGCAAGTTTACTTGTTTGCATGCTATCTTCCTTTCATAAAAAAACTTTCCATCCTACAAAAATTTCCCAACCTGTAGTACCATAAATATACACAGACATATACACTATGTTTCTAAGTTCACACTAATGTTAAGCAATACAGGGTTACTATCCAATCAAACAAAAAACTTTTCACTTCAAAGCTACCTTAAATGGAGACAGGCAAGCTGATCTGCGGCCTCAATTACACATCTAAATAAGTTATGCAGATAAAAACCATTCCAAGTGTAAAGATCAAAGAACACAGTATTTATGTTCTGGAGAAATTTCAATCCATGGAAGCAATTTTCTAAGTGTATTAACTGCAGGTTGAGGAAGAAAATATACTGTATTTTTTTCTGACAATTAATAAAATATGATTTCATGCCACCACTACTAAGCAATCCTCAAAAAGTATTCTCCATCCTAAAAATAATTATGAGTTTGTGCTCATAAAAGCACAAAACTGGAGTTTATAAGAGATTAGTACTTTCTTTGTCCTTTCTGAAAAAGAACCCAAAGCACCAGTTTTGTTTGATCCTTATTAATTTGGCATTGAGAAAAATCAATGTGGCAAATTCTAGGCCTCCTCATTCTTTTCCAGAATTTTCTGAAAAGCAATTTATATTAAATAATTGATTTCTATTTTTAAAACACTGCAGCAAACTACTACCTACTTATTTTTCTCAAATAACAGCAAGAACAAAAACCCTTAAAATTTAGGAGAAAAATCTCACCAAATGAATCAGAACTTTAAAAACAAAACAGGCCAGGGGTATAATCCAGTGGTGGCATATTTGCCTAGCATGAGGATCTGGGTTCCATTCCTAGCTCTGCACACAAAATGAATGAATGAATCAATCAATCAATCAATCAAAGAAACGAAAATCCACACTCATTTTTAAAAAGCCTAATAACTAACTTAATATTCCTTATCACTAAAAGGATTCTATCAAAGTTACGTTCTACCACCAAAATCCATATCAAGAAGAGGACAAACATGTTCAACTTAGACAGATTAAGCTAGTTCTAAATTTAAAGTTTTCTCACCCAGTCACCGTTGCAAAATAAATAGGGTCAATTTTAAATTTAAATGAAATAAAACCCATCAATTTACAGAAGAAATTTAAGGAATGGGAAAACGTGGCACAGTGATTCAATCAGCAAATCCAAGCTGTGGGAGATGCAAGTACAAATCCCCTGGCCTCTTCACTGGAGGTTACAAGTAGAAAAAAAAAAAAAAAAAAGAGGAACAGGGATGTAAAAATTAAAGAGATCAAATAAAAAAAAAAATTCAAGCAATCACAAAGCTGTGAATTTATGTTGGGAATGAGGGGGTGTGAATATCACTTCCACTGTAGAGACACAAGTAAAATGCGTATCAGGAACAGCATTAAAGGACATGGAAATACATGCAACATGGAACATGTTAAAATTTTTAAAAATCTGAAATAGGAAACAGTGGGGCAGTGCACTGTTAACTTTTTGTTGGAAGTTCTGCATTGTTTCTGTTTTTAAACCTTGTACATAGTTTATTCAGGTACACATTAAAATTTTTTTTTTGTCTTTTTCCTTTTTATTGGTACCAGGGATCGAACTCACGACTGCCTGCTTGCAAGGCAGGCGCTTTATGCCGCTGAGCTAAATCCCCAGCCCCACACATTAAATTTTAAACAGCACACATTCACAGAAAATGCCTCTCACCAATAGTCATAGCTCTCATCCCAGTTGTCAAAATGCACCAGAAAACGGTTGTCCACCATATCTGTTACCGTGGCAACACAGATGAATGCAGGGTTCTTTTTGTCTACAGCCTCAAGCTTCATTCCAACTCGAAAGCCTGATGGGATCACTGTCTATGGAAAAATGCAGATATAATTAGAGATAAGCGCACACTCAACAAACAGCAGAAAGACCCGTGAATCTGCACCTCCCGAGCCCACCCCGCTAGCCAGCCCTGTATTCACATCATTTCAAAATCATGTGCTAGGTTCACAGCAGGGCTTCTTTCCAACCAGCACTAATAAAACAAAACGAAATTATTAACATGCTCGACGGCTACACCCAATTAACTGAGTCTCAATCTCAATCAAGTCTCCCAATCTTGTAGTGATTAAAATAATTTTAACATGCATTTTGATACTTTAGAGAACTACACCAGCAGGTTTTACTCGCCATGTAGTTGACATTTTGGCCTTTCTTCTTTGATTACAGATTTAACAATGAAAATTACTTCATACCAAATACGCACTTAATCAAGTTAAAAATGGGTACAAGTCAGTACAAATTCACTCCCACTTTCAGATTTCTCTTGAGTACTCTCCAGAAAATAGGTCATCTTAAGATATTAAAGGCTGCAGATTCCTACAAGTTTTACTTAATGCTACAGACAATTTTTATTAACAGCAGCAGCAAATAAACTGGCTGATAATCTAGATAACCCTTCAAAATGGTTAGCAGTTGGAAGAGAATCAGTCATCTGGGACTTAAAAGGAAAGCAACAAAAGTTCAGGAAGAATTACTCCCCGAGGGACAGTAACACGCAACCACCCCTTATAATCCTTTATGAAGAAGAACATCCTAATCTCAGAGCAAGATATCTGGTTATGAATTATGTCAATCACAAGACATTCGATGCCTAAGTCATTTCTTTCTTTCTTTAAAAATAACCAAAAGCCCTCCTGCACAGACTGAAGTGTACAGGAATTACTCTAAGTACTTTAAGCAAAATAAACTCACTCCCACTTTATTATAACTATACAAATGTATAGCCATTGTTGTGAAAAATGAAGTTATATATCTGAAAAATAGGAGAATAAGTCCTGTGTGAGCTAGAGGAATAAGCATAAATAATACACAGACATTTTTATCATATAGCTAAGCCCTGAAATCAGTTATCATTTAGGACTATAAATATTTGACTATTTGCAGGTAGATAATCAGGACAAAGGAAACTGAGTTGCCTCTTAGATTCCAATCGCAGAGCCTGAGATTAAGGTGAAGTTAGCATTACCCAGAATGTAAGGGGACAGTGCAAGGCAGTTAATGAAATCCCAAATCCCAGAGTCAGATCATGAATAGAGAATCAGTCAGGGATCAGGAAGCTTGCAGCAGAGAAAACAGGCCACTGAGTGAGTTCCCACCTTTCCACCTCTTCCCAGAGTAAGTCCAACAGAGCACAGTACCTACTGACACGCCAGTACTGACATCTCAGCAAGCAAGCCCGCTCTCTAGTAAAATATTATAAAATAATAACCTGCCTCATTACCTCCACTAGGTTCCTAAACACCCCCACCCCTACCCACCACATCTTCAGTTCTCTGACTCAACCTGGCTTATGTTCAGTCGGAGAACATTTCATCCTTAGCCTGCTGCTCTCACACCAACTCACTACTATCACCTCCCAAATGGGGGTTTTTACCTGCTCCTGGTACTTATTTCCATTTGTAGGCAAGGAGCCCTGTTAGTGAAACATCACTGTCTCCCCTCCTGCCCTGTCACTTGCTGTTCCCTGGCAGGTGGGCCTGGTAGCAGGAATTTCCCTTGAAGGCGTGACGGGCTGCAGGGCACAGTCTCAGTTCTGCTGGATGAGGGGCCAGTCCTCTTTGGTTTTGGGGAGTGGGTAAATCCTTTTGATTGTGGGGTTCAGAATTAAAAACCTCATTTGTCTTTGAGACACAAGACATGCACATCTTCCAAGCCAGTCTTTATCAGGTGTAAAGATGCTATTTTGTTTTGCTATTTCATTGTCCCTATTCTTTCCAGGCAGATCAGAACTTGGGAGACTATCAAGTCCTGTGAGAGACAGCGGTGGAGGATCACACAATGGAAAATGGGAGTACATCAAGACACAGGAAGACACACACATGCATCCATTGCCGATTCTGCCTGGCGAATAAAGTCACGAGCTGCAGTGGAAGAACATCTCGGTCTCCAGCGACCTCCTGCATGTAAATTCACTCAGGGCTACCGTGGCTTTACTAAGAGTCCTATCTGAACCACCACCCTAACTAAAAATGCCAGCAATCAAACATTCCAATCATTTCATCTTTATGCATCTTAATTATAAATCACCCCCAGATTTTGCAGTAAGTTGCTTTCTACCATTCAATAAAAAATGTAATATGACTATAAAATATTGATTCATGTAGACTTTAAGCTAATTTTAAATTTTAAGATAAGAGAACTCTAATTACCAAGGCAATAAAATTTATACTAGTTCCCTATTATCACTTGTCATTTATCCCATGAGACACTCAAAAATCACCTCCTTGGAAAGGAGAACTTTGTACTTACTATATTCTGGTTTTCAAATAATGATTTAGGGGCTGCCTGGGCTTTGCACGTCTTCAGATAGGTCTGCCAATTAAATTCTTCTTCTTTATATCCTGGAGTAATAAGCACACATAAATGGACTTACTAAAATATTCAAATATTTTACATTTACTTTTCCAACCCCACCTTTAACTCCTACATGCCAAAACCAAGCAATGAAATGATTTTTTTCAATATACAAAATTAAACTTATAATTTGTAACTATGTATTTTTACATACAGGTTGTGGGGGGTTTTTTGGAGCATATTTTACTATTTGTTTCATTTCTAAATGAACAGTAACAGATAGGAAAAAAATAGGGAACAAACACTTTTTACACCTAAATATATGTTTTATAGAGCTTTCTCCATCAATACTTAGAATTTTTCAACAGCTGGGACCGGTGAGCTGGAATAATCAAGCTTTTTCTCGTTTATTCTATTTTGGGAGACTAACACACAGGAACAAGTAGAAAGTTGAAAAAATAATAATAAAAGCAGGCAAAATCTTTTAGGTTAAATCACAATTCAAAGTTTATGAAGGAAGAATATTAGCAAACTATGATAAGAAAAATGTCCACTGCCTTAATTTCACAATTTCATTAAAGTGAACATATTTTTAAAAAAGGGAATGGAGCACTTTATTTATCTGCTATGAACTCTTTTTGTTTCATTAAAGTTCAGCAAGTAGATAAAAAGATCACTCCTTCTATATAAGAAGTTAGTTTATAAGAGGGCTTACAAATTTCCTTTTCTCCATCACCTTTTGTTATTTGTTTGATCCTTTAGCTATCTGAAAATATCATTCTGGTATTAACTTTTTATTTAAAAGCAAATAATTATTTAAAAGATAGTCTACTGAAAAACAAACACCTTCTAGGCATGGTGGTGCACACCTATAATCCAGCACTCAGGAGGCTGAGGCAGGAGGATCACCACGGGCATTGGAGGATAGCCTGAGCCACAAAGGTAGCTAAAGCCAGCCTGAACAACACAGTGAAACTCTGTCTCAAAAATACATTTAAAAAAAAAAAAAAAAAAAAAGACCCACAGAGCTGCAGACAGAGCTCTGGTAGAAGTAGAGAGCTTGCCTGGCAAGCATGAGGTTGTAAGATCATGAATTCAACCCCCAGTACCCCCAAAGGAAAGAAGTAGAGAGCTTGCCCAGCATATGCGAGGCCCTGGGTTTAAGCCTCAGCATTGCCAAGAAAAATTTTAAAAGTCCTAAAATGGGACAAAAATTATCAAGCTAGTAATTTGAATTTTTCACATCAAGTAAGTAGTAATGAATCTAATAGCTGAAAGAGAAGGAAATACGATACACTGGTGAAGGGCTGAAAAAAAAAAGCAACCAAATGCTGCCTGTTTCTCTAGGAACTTTATACAGATGTGAAACGGGAAAAAATCACTGTCTGGGGAGTGGCTCGGTGTGGCACTTGCCTAGCGTATGGGAGGTTCTGGCTTTGATTCCCCAGCGCCACGAAACCAAATATAACCAAACAAACAAGTGAAAGAATGAAAGAAACTGTTCAGAGTTCAACTCACACTTAACCTGCTTTTCACTGTTCACTTTTCGTTTTCCTAAATATTAAGATTCATATGTTCAAGGCATAAGATTTCAGAGGGATTTCCATCCAAATACGAGTAAATAAAATTAACTACCTGAAGTAGTTAAAACTAATTTTTCAAGTTGGTTTTTTCAAGAATACCAATACATATATCCATATATTATGAAATAACACAAATTTGCTGGTAAAAATTATTTATAGTCACAGAAGTATCATTACCATGCCACAGTTAATTTATATGCAAATTAATACACAGACATGGTTTATTCTCTCAAGGTAGAGTATAATTTTATTTCTTTTACTTTAATAAAAGTATTTTTACCATGAATAATCAGCTTGAATTAGGACCCCTCTGAATTACCATCAAGTATCCCATGGCTGAAAATTCCCAAGTAGCAAGTCAGAAAATGAGATTTCAGTGATCCCAGAAGAGGCAGGGAAACCACACCTTTGGGAGGATGGAGTTTGTGGCCGGTTTTCTCGCACCATCCGACGGGGTGGATGTCCAGTGCATCCGCGTTTACCCAGAAATCATAGCAATCGGAATACCCATCAAAGTGCAGCTTGATCCGGTACCCACAAACCTGAAACAGTACACAAAAAGTAACACGGACATGAGGTGCACACGCCCTGAGCCACCCATGAACAGCAATCAGAGCAACCCGTGAGCAGCCATTTAAAAGCACTGCTGCACATGCTCGGCTGACATTCCAGCCCTGCCTCCAGGCCCATGAGGAGCACAGAGACTGGGTGAAGAGCTGCTCTCCCATGCCACCTTCTCTCCAGTTGCTAGTCCACTGGAGCACAAGCCACCACGGCCAGATGGCAGGGAAGCCACCAGACCGGGCACAGGACCAGCGCTGGCAGGGCCCGGCACTGACCGCCACCAACTCAGGCTAGCGCCGAGACAGAGCCATCACCTGGTTCTCCTCTCTCCTGGGTGCTGGCTGGCAAGTGAGAAAAGCCACTCCCAGCTCCTGCTCAGGCAAGACAGGCTCCCTGCACCCTAGGAAGAACTTGCTCTCCACACCTGCACTCCACACCTGTCTCCTGGTGGGGAAGCTCTGGGCTCAGGGCTGCACTGGCTCAAGCTCTGTCCTGAGCTCTCTCAGGGAAAGTTCGGCCCCTCTGTGTTCTTCCCACCAGCAAAAGCAGATGTGTCCAGAACAGCCGCACACACTCTAGACCTCTGCCCACTCTGGGAACACCTGTCCTCCAGAATCTCACTCCAGAAAGACACCTGAGACACACAGCAGGCAGTGCATTCACCCCAAAATAATGCGGTCTCTGTACAGCTACTGAACACTACCTACTACTAAAACTCCAATGGCAGAATAAATTACACAGCATGAGTCAGCTTAGAAGACTGTGGAAGTGGGAGGCAATGTGTGCACTGCTGTCTATCCCATAGTGTGTATACATAAGGCAGTGTGTGTATTAAGTCATCCCATTTACGCACATATTTACATACACACTAATGCATGCCTCTGTGTATATGTAAACCTGCAATAAACGTCTTCAAGAATACAGAGGCTGCTAAAAGAGAGTGTATATACACTTCAAGAAAAGAAACCTGAATGAAAGTGAGAACAGAAGGGCATAAAAGGGACCCACGCCTGTATTTCATTTCATTTTATATGGCAGTACTTTTTTAATTAAAAGGTACTGCCCTACTGCATAGAGGAAATTTGCAGCAGAGCCCAGTCTGGGTCTCCGGGAAACAAGGTCTCTGTGGAACAGCACCGGCCCTGTCCCCACCCCCCTCCGGCCCAGGCCTGCACCACCGCCTCCTCCTCCTCCTCCGTCATCCCTGGTCCCTCTGCTCCACCCCTGAGATGCTGAGCTTTGTAAACCGTCCCCCATCGCCCTCTCTCTTCCCTCTGCAGCTGTTCCAGCACCGGGCTGTGCTCAGGCCTCCTCTGTTTTCTAACATTTTTACCTCCTCTTGCACCCAGATTCTTTCTGCTCACATCCTCTGCCTCAGCTCTCTCTGTGCCTTCCTCTACTCAACCCTCCAGAAGCTTCTTAAATATTCAACCCCTTTTTCTCATTGGAAAGAGAAAAAGAGAGAAAGAGAAAGGAGAGGGAGCGAAGAAAGAGGAAACATAAAAATAAAAAAGACTGCCTCTCAGTCTGATGGAAACCAGTGCTCACACTCCCTAGTGAGAAGGTAACAAGTGATACCTATTTAGGTCAACACCCATCAGCACACAGCAGGAATTTCAAGGTGACTTTTCACATGGTGACTCTAAGGTTGGCTTTCATAGACAAACAAAATGAATATTCACTTGAATACTTTTTGTTAATAATGAGAAAATGAACAGTTAGTATCAATGTGAGAACAGTTAAATGAATTAAAACAATCCCATGAAATGGGAGTACTAGCCCAAGGAGCCAAAGTATCGAAAGACATACAACATACTTGTACCTGGTGAGATCGAAACACACAGTGAGTGCTTACACTGAAAAAATTCATTACAGCCAAAGGCACATTGCTATGAATCCTCCTCTCTCACTTTGAATACACAGACCTGGCCACTCTGGCCACTTCCTGAAGCAGTTCTGGAGGTCCTCTCCTGTGACAGTCTTTAGGAGGTGTGACCAAAACTGCCGACTGCAGTCCAGGAAAGGCAGGGCACAGAGAACTGCTTCTCAACCACGGGAAGTGTCACCATGTGTGACTTCAAGCTCTTCCCCAAAGTCAGCACAACCAGGAAAGTGCATGTTTTGGATCGATTTGGGATACAGGGGCAGACACAGTGCAACTACAGACAAGGGAGACGACTTGGGACTGCTCAGAAAGTGTCAAGAACATGGGCTAATTGCGTTCAAAGTCAGAGAAGGTGTTTTAAGGGAGACGATGACAGTGTGTTTTTACTAAAGTTTTAAAATTTAAATATTCATCATAGTTCTCAATTATCCCTCGTATGTCACAGAAGTTGCAAAATATCACGTAATCTATCAATTGTGTGTGAAACAGAAAAACAACAGCCAGGCACATATTTCATAGATGTAGAAATCACCTGGCCGGACCCAGTAAACTGCTCTGGGCTTCATGCTCTGGGCTTTGCAAAGAAGCAGAGGATGGGATGGATGCTAGTGCTCTTGTATTGGTTGAAGCTTTCACAATCAGAAGCCTAACGTTTATGACATAAAACCCAGACAAAGTAACGTAAATATCCTTCAAATACCGAGACCTGAAACACACATACTATTAGAAGGCCATTCTTCTTCCAGCACTCACTTCTCCAAAGCAGTCTCTAGTCAACTGAAGCCTGGAGGGCTGCACACAAATGCCCTGGCCCAGGACAAGAGGGCTTCAGGGGACTGGAGCAGGGCACTGGGGCAGCCGCAGCCTGACTGCCTCTCCTCTCTCCTCCTCCGCTAAGTGCTGTACTCAGTTTCCACCGCATCTGCAGCCCTTATGGTCTGCAGCCGCTCTGCAGCGTCCTCATCTGGTGCCTTGCTGAGGTCAGCCCTCAGGCTTCAGGATCCACAGAGCACACCTCTTCGCCTCTCTGGGAATCCCACCCACTTCAGAGGAAAACACCAATCAGCCACCAACAAGCCTGGCTCTCCCCTGCCCACCCAGAGAGGTGTAGCATGGCACTCAGCAGGGAAGACATACAACAGTCACACAACTTTGAGAGCTGCAGACTCTCACACTCTCTATAAAAGCTGCAAAACATCTCACTCATTTTCTGAGGCGAGGAAGAAAACGCAGCCTCTCCTTTCTCCACACGTAACAATGATATGAACCCCAAGTGACTGGAGCCCTGGGGACCTCAGCTTTCTCATGTGAAAGATGAAGAAGTAGCTCTGCCTCAAAAGCTGGCTCCTTCAAGAACGAATCTGAGCTCAGAGAGGGAGGCACTTTGCTCAGCTCTAGGCTGGAAGGTGCTGCGCTCCAGGTAACCGTGGCTACCGGTCACTGGGATCACCACATGCAGCCGTCGCAGGTCTGCCTCCTACAGAGCCAGGGAAGGAACAGTGTGAGAACCCCCAGCACTGGAGACCATCTGACGCCTTTGGCTGTAATTTTTAAAAGATGCACCACCCTGGCTCAACAGAAAGAGCCAGAAGGCAGGCATGGGAAAAAAAATGTAAATGTATTCTCAGTAATACTGGAGTCCTACTACATATATTTGACTTACTTACATTTCCTGAAATTTTCAGAGACACTCTCAAATGCTAAAGAAAATAAACATCTGTCATCCCATCTCTCATGTTAAGGAACATGGTATGGTAAAGACTATGGGGTTAGACAGACCTAGATTCAAATCCAGATTCTACAATGCCTTGTAGCTGTGTGGCTTTGGGCCTTGGTTACCTCGTCTATAGAATGGGTACAAGAACACCTGACCCACACAGGGTAGAATTCTGACGCACATCAGGTGAGATGATGCATCGTAAAGAAACGCAGGATCACTATTTTCTTTTACAATCAAAGATGAGGCAGCACTTACCTCGGCCACAGTGAGAACACAGTACACAGACTGATGCTCAGGGTCCACGCCTTCCAGCTTCATCCCCACCTTGAATCCATTCTTGTTATATGGAAAGGACTGGTGCTACAGTGAGAACGACAGCAGCTTAGTGCTGGTTAGAAACGAGACTGCCATCCCCGAAGACGGAGAAAGCACACAGTTACTCACACAAGTCATGCTTGCTGCCTTGGTCTTACACCTCTGCCAAGGCACTCATCCCTCAAAGTGACACCAAGTGAATTAAACTAAAATGCATTTTGCCTATCAGATTGGAGAGGAATGATAAACACCATACTGTACGGTACTAGGAAAACAAACAGTCATGTGCAAGAAAATAAAAAATACATAAATACAAATCACTGGAAAGGTTGGAAACCACTCAGTCTCTGGCAGTGCCACAGCACCTATGAAAAACTGAATGTGCTTTATAGCTCGGCTATGCTTATCCTAAGAAATTAACCCTCAGAAACTCCCACACAAGTGCAAAGTGCCCATGTACACGAGTATTCAGCAGTGCACACAGCAAAAGGCTTGAAAATGGGAAGTGGCTGAAAGCTCCTCCAGGGGAGCACGGGAGTGAAATGCCGTGCATTTGTGTGGAGGGATTAACAGACTGAACCCCAGTCATCTCCAAACTGCCCAGCTAAACACGGCCACAGGAGCGTGAGACGCACGTGCCGCAGGCTGAGGACAGGGAGGCGGCTGTGCGTCTGCAGGCTGCTCCCACATGCGGGATTTTCTAGGAAGGAAATAAGGGGCAAAGGACAGCAGCCACGGCAGGAGGCACGAAGCTGATGCTCAGGGATGGACGGGCTCCCACGGGGCACGATTTTACATTCTTCCACATTCTGAATCGTGTAATTGGATGGTGATGCAAGGTATCTGTGTCACTTTAATATTTTAAGAAGTGTGAAAAGAATATTCTGTTATGGTCCAAAATGACAGAAAACAGTTACCCAGAATCAGTTCACATGTAATTGCTATTATGTTAAATTAAACATTCTCAATATAGAGGTAATCATCCTGTCATTTGCTAGTCACTATTTAAAAAAATTTTTTTTAAATTTTAGCCCATCAACTGAGGAATGGCTAAAAAAGATGTACTTTTACACAATCATACAGAAGGACAAACTGGAGACTTTTATAGGGAAATGGATATAACTTGATACCATACTCATGAGTGAAATAAATCAGACACACATGTGCAAACATTGTATTGTCTCACTAGTGTGAGAAGCTGAAAGAAACAACATTCTTTATGTGTGTGTGTGTGTGTGTGTGTGTATATATATATACACATACATACACAAGTTAAGATAGTTACACTATTGATTTCTCTGAGTTGACAAGAATTTGTGTTGTTACTCATCGGACAAATAAATGCAGCTGTCTTGTGCTCTGGGTGAATGATTTGGGGATGACAATGTGCAATGTGTGTACCACTGTTGCACCTTGATTAATGTGTTTCAAAATTCTGTTTTGTCTTCTTTTTTTTTCTCTTGGAAATAAAACATTTTTAAAACAATTTTTTTAATTTTTTTATACTGGGGATGAAACTCAAGACCTTGCGCTTGCCAGGAAGGCGCTTATGCCACTGAGCTAAATCCCCTGCCTATTATTTTTATTTTAAAGAGAAAAAATAAAAACGATCGTACAAAATTTCAAAACAGTACAATAGAGTAACAGTGATTTATATATTGCATATGATTATTTTCAAAGTAGTTGCTCAGATTACAAGCTGTGGGCATGAAAAATGGATAGAACAAAGTAAGTACAAACCTCCCTTTTCAATGAACTGGTAGAAATCAGTATTAAACTACCTTAACTATTTTGTATATCTACATATACATGTTTTCTTTTGCTGATAGTCAGTCATATATAAAAGACGTCTATGACAGACTTATGACATACCATGATTAAACACAATGTAGTAATTTAAATGGAAGGTCTGAAAACTACATCTGTCAGTGAAATCCAGCTGCCACCCATCCTGCAAAGGAAGCCCTGGGGACACAGCCACACCCACTGACCCCCACTGCAAAGGCTGTGCCAAAGGCTGCCTTCCTGTTACACAGCCCAGTGGAGTTGATGTAACAGTCAAGAGGAGCCCTGCACAACCTACGATATTTACTATCTGGCCCTTCACCCAAAAAAAAGGTTACTGATCTCCATTTTGGTCTGACAGTAGCTCCTATTGTGAACTACACCTGGTAATCTCCATGCTTAACTGATTTTAAGTTACCTATGAGAAAAGTACTTCTATTACACTCATGTAATATGGTAACCCACATTTAGACGAATTGTCATTACAAGATACAAATCTCTAACCCACTGTCTCCAAGCTACGATGCTGACCTAAAATTTTGTGTCAGTTTTCTTTACTGGTTTTTCAGGGGTAGCTGTCTCATTCAAAGTCAGGAGTTCACGCTCAGTAGACACTGAGGGGGAAACAGCCACTCCCAGCCCCAGCCCTGCACAGGAAGCACAGACGACAGCACCCACAGAAGGGACCGTACCTCCCTGAACAGCTTCGCAGGCACTGCCACAGCCTTCTCCTCTTCCAGATAGGACGCCCAGCACCAAGCTTTCTTGCCTTTAGGAGGCAAACCTGAAAGGCAAGTGAGACTGACGGATGGAATTTAAAGATCGACGAGTCGCCGAAGATCTACGCGGCAACCTCTCACTGCCTGGTTCCTGGTTCCTCGCCTGCTTCCACGGCTGGGTCTCTCAGCCTCTCTTCCTGGCTCATTTTCCAAGGAACGGAGGGCTGAGAAGCAGCCACAGTAAACACCCACAGTTCCAGAGGCAAAGAGAGAGGCGAGTGACCCAGCAGGTAAGAAGGCAAGCCAGCAGAAAGCCAAAGCGAACAGTACCGTGGGGCTGCGGGCAGGGAAGGCTTCCCCAGGCGGGACGCTCATAGCCACTTCCCTCAAGGACCAAGTGGCGAGCACTGCTGGGGACTTAGCAAAAGCCTGCTCCTCTTCAAATGCGAAAATAACCAACAGAGCGAGAGGCTGATTTTTAAGTAAATGAGAATGCCCAAGTGCTGAACGTGGTGGTGGTGGAGCAGTTAATGTTAATCTTATTGTGGATTCATTTGACAGAGCCCTGGACATGAGGGAAGGAGTGTAACAGCTTAACCGGCAGCAAAGGCAGGGGAAGGTGTTTGGGTGATGCCGCGGAGTAAGGCAAAAGTGGACACAAAGAAGGGAAAAACATCTAAATGTTTGAGAAAAAAAACAAGCCAACAGGCTGGAGGGCAGTGGAAGACACTGCCGTCACTGTGGGAAATGACCCCAGGTCCTTTCCAAGGAAGGGAATGGGTTCCTGCAGCTAACTGGTAAAGGGAAGGGCTGGGTCCTCCGAGAGACGAGAACGCTGCTGGCTGGCGGCACACACGAGCCCAGGGTTGTACCTGAGAGGGAGCACGCAAAACCTAGAATCCTGAGAAATGGAGGAGGTCAGAGGTTTTGGGAGGATGGAGACATGAGAACCATCTCTCTGATGGAAAAGTAGAGAAAAGAAGGGTCTGTTCTGTGCTTCGGCTGAAACCATTTCAAGGTCCCCCGCTTCCCCTCATCTGCCTCCTCCTCACTGCTGTAACCCAGAGGCTCAGATGCCAGGAGCCGGGCACAGCCAGCCCAGGTAGCACAGATGGGACAGACAGTGATGGTGTTCAGTTTTTTCTTCCCACGCTTTGGAAGGGACTTCGATTTCCTGGGAACAGTGTCATCCATGAAGAAATGTAACCACCTGTGTCCTTCTTCTTCATAGCCCCATGCTGTTTCCTATTGAATTATACCCTCTGTTAACCACACAAATTAACAGGCTTCACACTGGCATTTCCTTACACGAATGCATCACCTCAGTGCCTCAAAACTGAGCTGAAGAAAACCCCAACGCAAGCCTGCAACTATGACCTTGGGCAGAGCAGCCAAGACGACAACCCGTTCGTGTGAACCCCGTACTTTAGATTTTCCAGATGCCAAGTGAGAAGCCCTGTCTCCCATCAGCTCACCCTGCTTCGGGACGGCCGAGTCCCCTCGCCTTTTCCTCCGGGCTCTCTGTGAGCCCCTCAGGATTCTCCCGTCTTGTTTGTTCTCCTGCGGCACAAAAGGAAAATGATGACTTACAAGTTCATGAAAAGTGCACCAGTAAAAAGCTGCTGTCAGAAGGCTTTTTTTCCTTGCTGGCCTTCTCTTCAATTTCACCTCCTAACGGCTAAAGAAAGTAAGAATACAGCTCATCTGCGAGCCATGTTGCTTTTGGCAAAGGTCTAAAGAAATGAAGATGGAAGACCGGTTCCTAGCGGTACGCGCTGGGAGGGTGTGAGTGCCGGCCCATCCCCTCCCCGTACTGTCTCCTCTCGGCCCCACACCCACTCTATCCCGGTCCTCCTCACCCCTCGCTGGCCCCTCTCCCTTGGGCTCCTCTGCTGCTGTCTCTGCCAATCCAGTCTCTCCTCCCCGTCCATCACCTGCTTTGGGCTTCCCACTTACTTCAATGCCAAACACTCCCAGTCTCTATCTGCACTTCTCCCTCTCTGCCTCCAGGAGTCTGCATCCAACGGCTCCTAGCGACGCCCCCTGAGGCTGAGGAGCATCTCAGCTCATGATGGCTGAGTGACTCCGGTTCTCTACTCTTTCCTTGCCTTCCCATTCTCAGACAGTGACGTGATTATCCAGCCGGTGACAACCTAAGATTCTTAGAACCCTGGGGAACCTGCCTCTCACACTGATCCCCAACCACTGCCTCCGAGCTCACACAGCCTCATGCCCAGCCTACTGCAAGACGCCTCTTCCTGGTTTCCGAGTCTATTCTTGCTCATATGTACCTAGGCTACCGAGATCATCTGAACACATAAATCATAAATCCCCCCTTGCCTTTGACTTTCCCACAGCTTCCAATTACACTCAGTGAAGACAAGAACAATGAAGACTTACAAGAACAATTACACTCACGAGCAGTGAAGACGCGCTGCTGGTTTACCACAAGCCGTACCTGACTGTGAACCACACGACTTCCAGCAGCATTCCACTCCTGCCCTGACCCTGAAATCTCCGCTATCTTGTCTCTTTCACATCTCTTCAAAGAGAATGTGCCGCCTACACCCTCACCTGAAGGGTTCTCCCTCCCTAGATGTCCAGTTGCTCTCCATGCTCAGAGCAGGTTCCTCATGATTCAGACCAGTATCTGTGTCACTGTGCTTGGGAAATCCCACTGAAAACTCAACTTGCAGCAGTCCACTGATCCCTAATACCTTATTTTCATTTTAAATATAGCACTTAGGATGAGCTGACATTTCACCTGTTACTTTGGTTTGATTATATGTACCCTCCACAAGCCAGATGCAGCAGCCCACATCTCTAATCCTGGCTACTTGGAGTGTGCCAAGTTAAGGGTCCAGTCTGGGAAACTTAGTTGGACCCTATCCCAAAACAGAACTTTTACAAAGCACTGAAGATGTAGCTCAGTAGTAGAGCACTTGTCCAGCGCATGGAAGGTATCAGGTTCAACCCTCAGAATGGAAAAACAATCTCTGCAAAGAAAGACCATGTCATCTCTACGTATCTTACTCATCTATGTATTCCCAGTTCGCAGAACAGCGCCTAACAATGATCAGTACTCAAAACTGGCCGAGGACTCAAAGCCCTCTTTTCACACTGGAATCACTAACACTGAACTTCAGGGAAAATCTCTGAGTTTTCATCAGCGCAGTGTGAGTGCTTTCCCAGGTGCACCTGGTATTTATGTGCCATTTCCTAGCCACTCTCATAGTTTTATGATATTTGTCTGCAGTTTACCAAAATGGAATTGGCATTTTGCTGGTGAGGGGAACATAACATTCATCTACAAATCTTAAGGTTTTATTGTTGCCTGTTCCCTGAGGAGTAAATTTCAGTTCTTCAACCAGAGAGAAGGGTTCTACGATTTAGTGTCACTATTTTGAGAAGAGGATGGCAAGACATAGAGCAGTTGGTAACTCACCCACAGTGGCAACTTCAGAACCAGCACTGAGAACTCAAACAACTGGTCCAGTGTCTCATCCCCCACCCAGGAGCCACCCTGTGCTCCCTGGTGGCTACAGAAGAGGTACTAACCATTTCATCATCCCTTTCTTCTCCATCCTCCTTGGCGTCGGCTTTCAGAGATAATTTTGGTTTTTTCTTCCGACTACACTTGGAATCCTCTTCCTCATTGTCTTCTGCTGTGTCCCTCTCTTCCTTCTGATCTCTGTTGTGTGCATAACCCCAAAACAGAGAGAGGAAACAACACCTATCAAACATCTACATGGTGACTATCAAATGTACAATTTTTAAAAAGTCACTCGCCAAAGGAAAAATATTTCATTACCAGGAGACAATAATCATGGGCACTAGAATATCATGGACAGGGAACAAGTAAAATCACTATGACATGGTATATGTGCTGGGGAAGAAAGCGGAAATGATCTTGCATGTTAATTTCAAAAGGGGCCCAGCAACGAATGTGAAATAGGTTCTAACAAGTTTATAATGATTTGTCTACTGCTTCTGCCAACTATACTAGTAAAAGAACTTATTTTTTAATTATTTAAAAATACTTGGCTTTAGGACAAAACCAAAGCAAGGACCTATTATTAAGAAAGGCAAATCCAACTCACAAGGCCACGTACAACTTTGGAAAGCATGAGCTGGCCAACAGAAACAACTCCCAAGATTGTGCTGATTAACACACATGAGACGCTCCCACAAAATGTAACCATCTAGCCATGTGTTTATAGCACGGAGCAACGCTCACCAATACGCCTTGCAGCTGAGGAGCTCAACTTGGCCGGGCGGGCCCTCATGGCAAGGTCACATGCTGTACCAGTCACACCGACATCCTCAGCCTGGACCCGAGATCTCCCCAGCAAGACTCACCAGGCCATCCGCACAGCCAGCCACGCATCCCATGGACAACCCACCAGTGGGAAGTCTGTTGCCCAGGTGGAGTTTTAATTGAGTCTCAAATAAAGTGATTTTCTCCTAAATAGGAGAGTATCGTTGAAATGTGTACACACCCAGAAAAATCTAATGCTCTTAGCAGAGGAGCAATCAAACAAGTGGAGGCACAAGGCTGAGGCTGAGGCCGAGGCAGAGGTCATACTGTGGGCAGCACACAGTTCAACACAAAGCTCAGACTAGGCTGACAGGGGTCACTAGCCCTGAGATCTGTGTCGCCAGAGAAACCTCTAGGGGGGCACAGTGGGAGACCGAAAAGGTGCCACATATCAGAGGACACAAAACCTCTACATGTGCAGACACTGCAACCTTGAACCTGCAAACCCATTTTACAGATGGAACAAGGCAAGACCTACTTGTCTTTGATATGCCGAGCGCAGTTCTGGCTGCAGAAGCTTCCTCCGGAAAGGCACTCATCTGCACTGCCATACTGACAACAGTTTTCACAGAACTGAAGCCCTTCTGTCTTTGATGTCGGCTCCTTTAACCTGAAAGGGACTCCAGTCTTCTCTGAAAAGACTGAAGACCAAAAGAAGAAGAAAAGAATCAAAACCGTGACAGAAGGCATTGCAGAATACAAGTAAACTTTTTCTTCTAATCATTTGGTTAGCCACACACTAAGGGAGAAGAATGTTTGTTGAATGAATTCTTAAGCTATAGAATCTGGACCACTCAAATCATTTATACAACAACAACAAAACAAATAACTGGTAGGAAAGATGTAAAAAGCTTGTGAAACATGTAAAAAGCTGTGAACCCTGTAGGTTCAAAGTAAAATACAGAAAACATCATTAGTGACTAAGCTGAGAAGATAAATGACCCATTATAGAACTGTAATGTGTAAGAGCATCTTTGACAAAACTGAAAAGGGGCATTATGTGACTTCTCACTTAGAACCTTTTCATGCACAATTTTGTTTTGCTTAACTAAAACAGCATGTCTGTTTTACTTTTCAGGTGGGAGATCTCCTGAATCACAATTATCTAAATCATTTAGAAACCTACATTACCCTTTGCCTGAATCATTACCAACCATTCATTCAACAAACATTTGTTAGATACCAATTTACACTAGACACTGAGAATGACAGTATAGATCTTGCCCAAGACAGCTCACACTCTAGAAGAGAAGACAGGCAAGAAAATAGATGCTTATAGCAAAACGTGACGCATGCACTATAGAAGGATGAACAAGTTCTGGAAGGAAGGGAAGGGACAGTGATTCTCTTGGCCTGGGGTGAGACCGGGGAAGGATTTTCTGATACACAGTCAGAGTCTGAAGGTCAAGAAGCAATTTCCAGTGGACAGAGAGAAATGGCATTTGAGCCAGAAAAAGCAGCATGAATAAGGTAAGAAGGCACAAAACCACAAGATTTGGGGGGCGGGGCACACAGTTCTGTGCTGCTGGCACCGCAGGAACACAGCGTACAAGGGGACAGAGAGGAAAGAGACAAAGCAGACAGCAGGTGCGGGTCACCCGGCTAAAGAGGCAAAGAGAAGTCAGCAAGTGTGAGACACGCAACCTACGCAGGCTCCTCTGACTTCGGGGTGAGAACGGGGAGGAAGGAGGAGTTAGCAGTGCAGTGACTGCGGAGGGGAGCTGTGCAGGACTGCAGGGGACAGTTAACAGGGCCTGGAGACAGACGGGCAGCGGCGAGTGGTGACAGCAAAGGCCAGATCCGAGCCACACTTGGGAATAAAACCAGGCGCGTTCGGGAGCAGGGCACGGGACAGCAAGGGCAGACTCGGGCCGACTCCTGCAATTCCTGCTTGCCCACCGCGTGGACGGCGCTGAGTTTACAGAAGAAAGAGGGGTCTGGGGGAGGGGAGGGCGAAAGAGAAAAGGACTCGCGTTTCAGACACGTGGCGCTTGAGGTACCTGTGGGACATGCGGGTGGAGATGTCCAGTAGGCAGGTGGAAACACAGGCCTGGAGCTCGGGGCAGAGGTCGGGGCTGGAGATACAGATGCAGGAGTCGTCAGGTGTAGGTGTTAGTGACAACCATTGGAGGAGATGAGAAAAAAAAAGTGGCAGGCGTTTGGCTAGATAACCTGGGTGGGCGATTACGACTCTTATTTTCTCTAAATAAAAAACTGTCAACTAACCTTGAGCTATGACAGATCTGGCATCGGGAAAGAAGAGTTTATAGTTACTATCAAATACAAAAGCCGGCTCCCATCCGTTTCATTACAGAAATTTACCTAGAACGCCACACTCGAGCATCATCCAGTGTATGATAAAACCTCTGGTATTCTTATCTCAAATCTTTCCACGGGAAGAAACAGTGCCGACGGCCCCTTCTTACCTTCTTGAGCGGTCGGGACCATCCAGGTGGTGGTCGCCGTTGCCTTCTTAACGTTTTCCATCTCACTCTCATCTGTAATAACTTCCAGGGCTCCAAACTCATTGACCCGAAACTGGAGACAACACAGCAGAGAGAGGCAAAGCTGCAGAGGCGCTCAGCACAGCAACTGTGTCCTGGCGGACACGTCTTTAGACAAAGGCGCTGTGTGTTACAGGGTATCTTTACAACGTGATACAGTGGATAAGCTTCTACCAATGGGCCAAACTTTGTATCTTACTCACTGTGGAACTGGGCAAGCTGTACTGTATGTCTGAATCACTGATGGCGAACCTTTTACTTACTTGCTTTTTAAATATCCTATCTAACAGGATCGAATGGAACTTCCAATCCTAGCTTTTTGAGGAGTCTCCGCACTGATTTCCACAGTGGCTGCACCAGTCTGCAGTCCCACCAGCAGTGGAGAAATGTTCCTTTTTCCTCACAGCCTCGCCAACATTTGTTACTGGTTGATTTCTTGATGGCAGCCTTTCTTACCCAAATGAAATCTCAATGCTGTTTTAATTTGCATTACTCGAATGACTTTTTATGCTTTGATTGTAACTTGAACAACTACTTCTAAGATAACAATATATAATTGATCAACTAGTTATTTCTTTTTTTTTTTGAAATTGTTTTATTCTACCCTCTTTTCTGTTTTGCTTTTTTTTCTCTAATTAAAAAAAATCCTATTTATTGATTGATTGGTACCTGGGATTGAACTCAGGATCTCATGCTAGCCAGGCAGGTGCTTGTGCCACTGAGCTAAATCCCCGGCATGGTGAATCTTTTAGAGGTGAGAGCCCAAACTGAAACCCACAACTCATTTATTCCCTGTAAAGTGCCAATACTGCAATTAAACCTGAATTTATGTGTAATTTAACCTTTAAGTTTCACCCTGTATTTTAATTTAGAAGAAGCAATTCATAAACATCTTTTGTCTTAAAAGCAAAACAACACAGGTGCCATAGGTTGCCCCCCCGGCCTGTGCCCCCCACAGTGTACCTGGATTATACTTGTCCTTTCAGACATTCTTTGGGCTGACTTATTTTTTATTTATTTTATCACTTATTTAATTATGCATTAATTTAAAAAATTACAACAAGGTTTATTCTCATAGTTGTGACTGATTTCTTCCTAATTTCCTATAAAACAAAATGGCAGGAGAGACTCACTCATTTTAACAGACGATGAACAAGTGCAAATACCCAGATTCAAAAGCACCATAGAACATTTTTAGGGCTTTCATCAAAACACAGATAAGCATGCAAACAGATAGTATGGAAGCAAAGCCCCCATTTCCCAACCTAAAAAAATCTATTGGGTCAGCATGCCACCTACATTTTTATTTTATTAAATGATGCCCTGATGTAAGTCAGAAAAATCTTAACCAATAATTAGCAACCATTATTGTCTCTACCAGGAGCAAACAGAACTTTATAAAGATCTTCTACGCACAGTCTGCGATTACTGGGTACTTTCTAGGCTGAATGAGTTGACAGGGCTGAGGAATGAGACACTGTCTCCCCTCTGCTGTGTATTCCCATACAAGTTCCCAGGTAACAGGTCTGCAGAACAAGTCAGTTCAGGAGGTGGCCCACGGTAATTAGATGGGAAAGAGCTAAATATAACTGCATTGTTAAGAAAATGACACCTTAAGACAAACAGATTCTTAATGTTCAAATCCAAACATACAGTATTTCAAAATAAGGCTGACACTACCATCTACTGGGCAAGAGTAGAAAAAACAGGCCATCGTGATAATTATTAATTAATGATATTAAAGACTATAATAGAAAATAAATTCTGAATTCAGGGAAAAAAAGACACAAACTTCACAGTTCACTTCAGGTAAGTAATTTTACTTTTATTACATGTTACTGATGCTAATGTGTTTTCATCTGACAAATACAAAATATGCAAAATGGTCCAAACATTGAAGTTCCATTACATTAAACTAAAAGCACCCTGTGACTGAGGTTTGCAGATTGTTGCTAAACTGCAAGTCAACTTGAGTTTCTTTTTTCTTTCTCTTTTTCCTTTTGGTATCAAGAATGGAACTCATGACTGCACTTTCCAAGCGGGCGCTGTGCTGCTGGGTGAGCTCCATCCCTGGCCCCTCACCCTGCATCTCAAATACTGAGAGAGAGAGAACCACTGTGTGTAATATCCAAGGAAAAACACTGCACTGCGGTGTGTGGACATGTTGGGCTCAAATACTTTTAAAGCTAAAAGTTAACAACCCCAAATAAAACATTTGAGCTCAGTCATTTTCTCCTTCTAGTGCCAAAAACTGACCCACAGTCAAAATAATAAGTAGAAATGCAGTATCACATGGGGACACAGGGAACTCCTTCCTGCAAGTCATAGATCCACAGACAGATTTCAAAATGCACTGCATGAAATACAAGCAAAATGGTGGTCCATGTACACATACAGGGGTGGAGGTTAAGACTCATCAGATCTTCAAAAGCACCCATCCTGAAAAAGCCTGAAAAAGTAATGCACATCTATCTGCTCTTACTGAAGTCCCTCTGCAAAGGTAAAACCCTCCAAGCATTTTCAAAATACCCGGCCACATGCAAAAACATATGGAGAAGAAACTATTCAGTGGCTTCTCCACTTGGATTTACTGTGTCTCCCAGAGTCCCTACTGCAGAAAATATTTGCACAGGTTCTAGGCACTGCAGAGGTCCCAAAATAAAGCTTCAGAAAGACCAACAGATTTCCTAACTTTTCTTCCCAATTAAACATACAGGTTCTGAAACTGGTACAGCATTTACAAAGTTACTTTTTAAATTGTCAGTTCTTTTAATTTAAATAGTTAAAAAAAAAAGTAGAAAACGTGTCAAGTGGCTCCATTTTACCAACAGTATCAAAATTAAAAGCTTTACAAATGTGTCTTATTAAGTCAATGAAACAGGATAGCTCTTATGTGGCTATATCCAGGTCAATCAGCAAACTATTATACCTAAACTATGCAAGAGGTGGCTAAGATTTTGTTGGTTTGGTTTGCTTTGGCTTGAACCTTAACTTAATTCTCTACTTCTTTCGGCTATTTTTGCTCATCTTTACTAATAGATCCTTAAGCCGAGGATTTAGTTCAGTGGCCTAAGTGCCTGCCTGGCAAGCGCACAGCCAGGAGTTCGATCCCTGGTACAAAAAAAAAAAAAAAAAAAAAAAAAATCCTTAAGAGACCCAAAAAAGGTCTTATTTTTGTTTTATTACTTTCAGTGTTGAAACCTGGATTCTAGTTACAGCACCAATGTGTGTTAAGGGCAAAGCTGTTTGGTGACTAAACCGACTGAGATATTAATCAAGACAAGGCAAAGCATGCCTTTAGAGTGGGGTGAATTTAACTGAGATGCTTCTGCCTCCGGGGCTGCAGGGTCTTGCTTGCAGCTAAATGGCAATTATTCTTACTAGATAAGATGGGCTATCTCTCTGGAGAGTCTCCACAGTCTTACCCAGGGACTCTGAAACTAAATCCTAGTGACCCACAGGCATAATTCCCTGGAGGTAAATTTCAGACACCACAGAAGTTCAGGTATGGGAGCTACTTGGGCACAGAGAGCCCTATCAGACACCTCTCCCCTGCCACTGAGTCACCTGCCTGTGCTTATAGCTGACCCTGACACATGAATCTACAAGTATTTATTTGCTTTCTTTCCTTTTTTTTTTTTTTTTTTTTGGTCTTTTTGAGACAGTCTCACTGTGCAGTTCAGGCTGGCCTTGAGTTCACATTACAGCCCGTCTCAAACTCACTATGATCTTCCTGCCTCAGCCTCCCAAGTGCTGGGATTACAGGCCTGTGCCACACACCCGGCTACAAATGAGGCCAAGGTAAAGTTGCCAAAGCTCTACTGAGTTAGACAGAAATGCCTTATTAATGACTACACTGCTTTGGGAAGTGGCCTTGCACCCTGCTGTTTGCCCTTGAAGCTATTCCCTCTTTCGGGAGACCCTCTCCTGCCCTCCTCCTCCCACCATCTTCCCTTAAGAGTTGTCCTTGGAAACTGCTTTTTCCTCTACCTGAAGCCCAAATGATACTTGCTTTTCAAGGCCGCCCTGATTGCTATGGCTGAAATGCATTTTCACCACCTACATCCCCATAACACTTTCCTTGTATCTCTGCTGAAAGGAAAATGTTCTCCATCTTTAGAGGGCAACAGAGCAGGGTTGGGAGAATGGATTTTAATACCAGATGCACCTCATCTTAAGACTTAGCTCTAAGGAGCTAACCACCCTGGACCTCCACTAGACTGTCAAAGACAGGCACTACCTGAAACTGCCTCATAAAAGGATTCAATAAAGATGCAGCTTCCGCCCATCAGAGAGTAAGGTCCTCTCCTCCCCCACTACTGCACCCAAAGGTGTCTGCACCCACTTACATAAGGCTGCAGGGGTTAGAGCTCTATGCTGCAGAGGGGAAGGAACAGGAACAGTAAAAAGGGCTCAGAGTATGGGTCATAAATGAGATGCGGCCACAGAGGAGGAGAGTAGGGGGCCTCTATCCTGTGAAACACACACACTCACTCACACTCACACACACACACACACACACACACACACACACACCCTCCTATGAGAAAAATGATCCAAACCATGCCATGAAAGGTCCAGCATAATGGGCCAGAGTTCATCAGCTTGCACCAAGGAAAGTCCTTCAAAATGACAAACACTGAAGCCTATGAAAACCTGTTCCCATAGCAGAAAACTGACCTTTCTGCACAAGCTGACTGCATTAGCTGAAGGGACTTAGGCTGCTCAGGCTACCACACTGTCAGACAATTCACAGCCCTTACTAAAAAACAAAAGCCGCATAGTGCAGAACCGGCAACGCATGATATGAGAATGTAAGTTTCATGGTTTATTCAACGTTCTTTGCAATGTTTTAATTGCATGAAAAATTAATTTTGCAATCAGCTCTCTTAAACAACTTAGATTTTAATGTAGGAAGTGAATTAGAAATCCTAAGCAACATAATCAAAGCCCTAGTCTCTAAATCTCAGATCAAAGGGGCTACAAAGCTGAAAGTAGTTTTTAAATTATTTTTTAAAAGTGAAGTGCTAAAGCTGGGTGTGGTAGCTCACACCTGTAATCCCAGCACTCGGGAGGCTGAAGTGGGAGGATCCTTGCGAATTTGAGGCCAGCCTGGGCTACAAAGTGAGCTCTAGGCCAGCCTGAACTGCATAGCGAGACCCCGTCTCAAAAAAAGACAAAAAAAGTGAAGTGCTAAACTGTCTGCAACACGGAACATAAAGTGAACTGGACACCTGGCAATTATCCCAGTAATCAGATAATCAAAATGTTGTATCGAATAATTTAGATTACAAAGCCCACTAATGGTTTGATTACCGGATTAATGATTTAATTACCTAAAATGCAATCCTTAGGTAACCTTAAAACAATCCAAATTACCTAGAGTTGGAAATTTTAACGTCAGTGCTAACTCAGCTGCTAGGCTTGGTGGCTCACGCCTGTAATCACAGCACTGGAAGACTTAGGCTCCTGCCCCAAGTTCAAGGCCAGCCTGATAATGAAACCCTGTCTCAAAAAGCGCCCCCCTAAAAAAAAGGGAAAAAAAGCTAACTCAGCAAAAGTTACAAATTTTATCATCTACCTGACACTGAAAGAAACAACTACTGGAAAAGTAAAAAAGCATGTACAACAAAAATAAGCAATAAAAAGGTAGTTTACGCAACACAATGCAAAACCAGAAAATACGCAATCTTGTTTTATTATATATATATATTCATAACAACTTTATGATCTTGAATGTTACTACAGATTCTAATGCCCTCATTTTACAAATAAGACTTCAAAATTCAGGACTCTGGATAATTTGACAAAGTTCAGCAGGGCAGTATTTAGTTGACATTATGAGAGTTTGAGAAACAATTTTTTTCTCAAAAGTTTTCAAAACTCTAGAAAAAACTCAGGTAGAATCATCAGTAGTCCATTAATTCTTCATTTCATGCAGAAGAAATCTGATCCAAAGAGATAAGCTGAGTTGGTCAAGGTCACTAAAAACCCAACTTCTCTTTTTAAACTAATTTTAACTGATATATAGTTTCTGCATATTTGTGGGTACACTGTGATAATTCTCTACATGCATACAATGTAATGATCCGGTCAAGGTAATTTCTGGCACTGAAAAAAATATACTACCCCCTCTCCTCTAGCATCTGCCACTCTTAAGGATTAGGGTACTTCAGCCTCTTCCTTTCCACTGTGAAATGCATGTTTATGATCTGAGAGTGCAGTCATCCTACCGTGCTGCAGAACACTAAAACAAATTCCTCCTACCTCCTTGTTTTGGCACCCTCTAGGAAAACCCACCCCTTCTCCAGATTTCATGAAACTTCATTACAGTATTTTTCACCCTGAGCTCAGACGCTGGCACACTGCACTTGATGAAACTTAAGGTAACTAAGCCACAAGTATTTTTCCAAACTGCACCACCAAGGAAGACTAAGGCCAGCTTGGCTATGATACTTGTCACAGCCACCAAGAGGAATTCGATTCCAAGAAACCTGTACCCCACAGCAGCAATTCCTATTCGAGGCAGCACCCATCAAGCACTGAAAAGGAAAGCCAGCCTGATAGGGAGGTGAGACATTCAAACACCTAACGACCAAATACAAATTCAGAGTCTAAAGGCCACAGACAGGTTCAGGGTCTCAGATGAAAAGCAAATTAGAAATGAGAAGAAGTGGGGCGGCCCTGTGCCCAGAAAGCTGCTTGCACAACTGTGTCTTTTGGGGCAGCACTGGTGGCCCCAGCGCGGCCTTGGCAAGCTCAGAAAGGATCTAGGGCCATCACCTAAAAAGTTAACAGGCTGACGCTTCCAAAGACAGTGTTCATCACCCCAAAAGCAGTATGACTTACAGGAATCATCTGCTTCTGAACGTGGGGTGGTACAAATATCCGTTACGCACACTGCAGGGAGACAAACGGTCCTATTTATTCAAGATCTTAACATTATCTGATTGAGTTTTTAAATGAGAACACAAAGGCACAGGGAACATGGTCATTCAGTTCACAAAGCCAATACTACAAATACCCAAGTAGCTAGGTCCTCTGAGACTGTCATTTCTGCCTCTATGGCCATCATAATAAGAGTCCAAAGTAAAACAGTCCTGGAGATCAATTTGCAAAACAAACACAGGCTGCAGAACTTTTCCCTCACCTCCTAGCCCAAGTAACAAAAGTATCTGCAATCCACGAGCATTTCAAACTGTCATGTGAGTGTATTATAGATGTCTAAGCATTAGCTAAAACTGAAGCAGTATGCCCAAGGCTTTTCTGTCTTATTTCCTATGTGTATTCATTTTAAAGTAAACACACAGGTGCACAGGCACACATACACACACAGTGATGTGTAATAAAGGCAGCTTACCTTCAAGTCACTTCCAGGTAATGTACCCACGCCATCTTTCCAGTCCATAACACTGAACACATCAAACTCTTGGCCGCTTGTGCTGGAGGCGGATTCAGTCATGATTTCTTTTTTAACCTCAAAGGGGGGGGGGGGATAAAGCAGAACCACTAAATACTCCACAGGCAAGTTAGTTCTTTACTGAACGATCATCACTTTGGTTTTCCTTCATTATCTGATTTTCCTGACCACCAGATCCCATACCAACAGATCTAAGGTAACTGTTCCAAAGGTATCTTCAATGGGGCTGGGGAAAGCACAGGGGTAGCCTAGGCACACAGCCTAGCATGCGTTTCAGGGCCAATTCCACCCCATAACCACATAGGTATTCATCATGAACATTTTCTCATGGTGCAACCTCTAGATGATAGGAAAAAAATACAAGTGTTATGATAAACTTTGGCTGTTCTTAAAAGCAAAAGGAATACATCAATTCACGGCATTTTCACTTAAATTTAAAAGCAAAAGGGTGATACTATATATTGAATCCCTTGCCCTATAGAAAGGTTTTTGCTTTTTTATTAGCACCAAAAAGATAGTAGGTATGGTGAAGAACAGAATTTATACAGTAGTCCTCTTATCTTCTTGGGAGATAGGTTCCAGAAATTCCAGTCCACACCTGAAAACACACAACGGTACAAGTCCTCCATACAACTAAAATGTGTTCCCACACATATATACCTGTGATGAAGTTTAATTTATAAACAAGGCGCAGTAAAAGATTTAACAGTTTACTGAAGCAGCAACCTCAGCACGTGGTTTGGGTTTCTTTTCTCATTCAGCTGAGATGCTTCGTCTTCTCGCTGATAGGAAATAATTCATGACTTGTGTTTGGCATATTCAAAGTCAGTACGCTCACAGTCTGTGTGAGTGCTCTGGCAGCCTGGGGCCGTTACTGAGTGACGTAAGGATTCTCTGAACACAAGCTCTGTGATATCCCCGAGACACAGACTACATGACTGACAGGAGGGTAGTGTACACAGCATGGACACGCTGGAAACACAGTGATTCTGGACTGGACAGGACAGCGTAAGATTTAATCATGCAATGCAGAATGTAATTTAAAACTTCACTAATTTCTGGAACTTTCCGCTTAACATTTTTAGACCTCAGGAAACTAAAAGCTCAAAAAGTTAAACTATGCATAAGGGAGGACCATTGAATAAAGTATTGATAAACACAAAAGAGGCCATTTTGATAGTTGAAAAAAGAAAAAAAAGTAGGAAAATTCAGGCAATTATTGACTGTCATATAGTCAGCTCCAGTATTTGTGCTCCATACGACAAATGCACAATGTGACTGATCCTTCGCAAAGTCAATTTTCAGTTTAGTTGAAATATCTGCCAATTTGTTATTCTAAGAAATAGGAAAGCAAGTCTTAAAATATACAGCAAATACCAACAATTAGGCTGTGTTAAGATAACCAATTTGGCCAGTAAAACTGTGATAGTATTTTTATTTCCATTTTTTAAATTGCAAAACAAACTGCTTTCCATAATCACATGATTGGTGGCACTACTCAGTGTTCCCAAACTGTCATCTGCGAACATGAGATGAACTGAGGAAGTAGCTGGTTTGGTATCATTCACAACTGACAAGGGATCAATAGATCCGAAATCTGATTGGACAGTATTAGTATGAATCCATGTATTTCACTTTTTACTTTTTATGTGTATTTTCTAGCTTTATCTGCAAATAATCAGTAATCAGGTGAGCAGTGGGGTGCTTGGACTGCGGTATGTAAATACCGTTTCTCCCAAATCCCTCCAGAGAAGGTTCTGGTTTCTGCACAGTGGCAGGAAATGCCGGGAGCATCTTTTCAACCAAGAAAGCAAAGAAGCTTTTATCAAAGGCAACAGAGTCGTACACAAAGACCTCAACTGAAGGGGCACCTGGCAGCCAGAGCAAGGCAAAGCAGGTATATCCTCATTAGCTTCAGTGAACTGCAGTATATCCAGGAGGTTTAAAACCACGATCTCACATTTTTGATCCTCAAATCACAACAAACACACACATAGCACACCTCACGGGCCATCTCTGGAGGACACAAGGGAACCAATTCCTTGTTTAGACAAAAAAAATGCTTGTGAATTATTTGACATGCAAGCTAAATGGGCTGCTTTCTTACATGCAGTATCATTTTTGCTAAACAAACTGTGTTATTTGGATTTAGGTGACCAGCCACGTATCAGGTCGCAAGTTAATGAGGTAAGCCCATCCCATAAAGGAAAATACTGACAGTATTTGCTGCTCACGATAAAATTTGAGCACCTAGGGGAAACTTGGGATTTTGGAAAACTTGTATCCAACGACATGAACTGGAGAGCTTTCCTATTAAGATTTCACTGAGGAGCTGGGCAGGTGGCAATAAGAATGTGTGGCAGGGAAAATTTCACAGTGAACTACGTCAGTGTTTACAAGGTCTGCACAGTTCAGCAAGGCAACAGCTTCCCAATGACCAGGGCACAGCATGATGAAACTATGCAGGGTGAGGGGATCCAAAGTCCAGAGAGACCGTGAGATTTTAATGCAAAAGACTAGGGAAAGCCCACTGGTGAGGAGGTTTCAAGCTACACAGTCAACTATCCTTTAACTAACTGGCACCAGCAAGCTTTGTGTGGTATCAGGGAAGAATGTCCTGTTACTGTAAAGGCTAATACTTCTATTTTCTGATGTCATACAAAGTGTGAGCAAAATAGGTGGTGATCATTAAAATTTTATAAAGTATTAAAGTAAAAGATGCATCGCCCCTAATCCCTCTTAAAGTACCCCCGTTATTTCAACCACTTATCCCACTGCTCTCTGCCACTTTTCTGTAGCATAAACATGGTAATCAAAAGGACAGTGAGCACCACTGCCATGGAAGAGCAGGGTCACGAAAACATGAGCCCAGGTCCCCATCTGCTGTATCCGCTGGACCTGGCACCAGGTGACTCCTGGCTCTTCCCCAAACTCAAAATGACCATGAAAATCAACATTTTTTAATCAATTGAGGCCACTAGACAGCCACACAAAAGGAGCCCAGAATTTCTCCGGAAAGTGGCCAGAAGACGGGATGAATGGGCCTGGAAGGAGGGGAGGGTTTCTGAGAAGGATTAACAGTCACATGTCTTTTGCTACATTAAAAAAAAATTAACAGTTTGACATATGTTCCAATCACAGCAAGTCAGATTTTCTTCATGTCCTGTACTTCAACCCAAACGCTGTGTAGCAACAGACAATGCAGAAGTGGATGGAAGACTCCAGCCACCTGCCAATGTACTAGGTATGAAACAGGTTTGCAGAAATGTGAAACGCCACTTCTCCCATATTTTTTTTTGTTTTGAAATTATGACTTTCATAAAAATTACGACACCACATATTATCACATGCTGGGCTTATCATTGTCATTTTTAAATAAATAGGTTGAATCTATTTCTAATTCAGTACCCATACAAACAATATTTCTTTAACCTTTAACCTTAAAACACTTTTAAGTATAAAGGCGACAAAAGTCTGCTATATGATAAAAAACTCTTTTTTCCCCTGGTGGGGGACAAAAAAAAGGAACTGCAAAGAAAACAATAAAACAGCTTAAAAAGAAATCTGAAATTTAGATTAAAAGACAAATTAACCAATCACATTATCACGATTCATTGATCCTAACTTAAATTATTTTTTAAAAAATGATTATCCAGGGGCTGGGGATTTAGCTCAGCGGCATAAAGCACCTGCCTTGCAAGCAAGAAGTCATGAGCTTGCTCCCTGGTACCGATAAAAAGTTAAAAAAAAAAAAATGATTATCCAAGTCAAGTGTAGCAGCACATGCCTGTAATTCCAGCACTCAGGAGGATGAGGCAGGATAATCCTTGCAAGTTCAAGACCAGCCTGGGTTACAAAGTAAGCTCAAGGCCAACCTGAACTGCACAGCAAGACCCTGTCTCAAAAATACAAAAATAAATAAACAAAATAAAATAAAATAAAAAAAGATTATCAGACAGCAGGGGAAATAGTACCTATTGCCTGGTAACAGAAATATTGTTTCAAGGGGTAATGATAAGGTATAAGGGGAGTTCTCCCTCAGATTTTTCAGACACAAACTGAAATAAATAGATGAAATAACATGTGAGAAATTCGCTATAAATTAATCACTGTGGGTAAAGTGGTAAAATAAGACTGGTAGCAGGCTGGGAATTGTCCAGATACACATACAGTCCACAACAGTTTATTATACTACAGCCTAACTGTGTATATGTTTGGGAAAAACCCCAGATGTTTTAAAAGAGTAGTCTCTGTTCATATGCAATATGCATTCATTATTAATAGTCAATAAAAAAAAAAAACACCAAAAGCTTGTGCTTCTTTGAACGATAGCTAACTTGGAAATTTCCAGGTATTTTCTTTTTTTCCCTCTAACCAGAGAAAAATATAAAATATTAGACTTTGAAATGTATGCAACTTGAATTTGAATAAGAATCAGATTTTACCATCATTAAGGCTTAATCCTCAAACTAAGAAGTAGGATATAAAGGTCTGGGGAAGAATTAAACTAAGAAATCGTGGAAATAGGAAATGAATGAAGACTTGTACTTATATTTTTATTGGCCTCCTCTGCCACTCCAGGGGTAAAGGTCAGCAGTGAAACTGACCCCCTACTAAGGGATGCCAAATGGCAACTTTTTCCTGGTAGACTGCAGAATGACAGAATAATTTCCTCCCTGCTGGATAAACTCAGCAAAACCGTAACCTTTCGTGTTTTCCTACCTGGAAGCTCCACATGCACAAACTGCACAGCCTAGGAGGATAAATTGAAAAGCCAGGATGCTCCAAAGCTGCGGTAAATATTCATTACGGGCTACAAGATACATCAGAATATGCTTTTGCTACACAAAACATTAATAATGTTACATAGTGTACTCGGCCTGTAACCACATATCTAAAATATGTAAAAATTGTTTCCATCTATTTTTTTATTCTAAGGTTTATGGCTATTTTGTATTAAATATTATAGCACAGAAACATTTACTGTCCTGTCTTTCCCATCATCTAATTGTATTAAATCCACTGGCAACTTTCACCGCCCCAGGAAATCTGGATGC